CCCCCCCCCCCCCTTTTACCCCCAGGGCCCCCCCCCCCCCCCCCCAAACCACCCCCACCCCACCCATCCCCCACCCCCACCCAGGTTGATCCCCTCCTCGATGCCGCCGTCGATTGCGTCGATGTGCTCGAGCTCGCATCCTTTGTGCAGGCCCCCCCCAGGCGCCCCTACGGCGGCGCGCAGCGCCGCTGCACCCCAAACAAAAACGCGCGCGCAGCGCGCGCCAGCGGCGCGCAGCGCCGCCGCAGGCGGCGGACAGCAGGTGCGCAAATTTAAACGCCATTTTCGGTTTCGCACTTTTGCCAAAATCTTCAAAATCCGGTACAAATCGACTTAGGAGATTTTCCGTGCGCAGCCGGCGGGGCCCATGGCGGGGGCTGGCCCCCCGCTGCCAGGCGGCCAGCCAAAAATGTTATAAACACCAAAATTGGGTTTACATAGTAAACTGCTTGCCAGAGGCCTCAGCAACTTTGTACATCATTTTGGTCCTTTCTGTGTGGGCATGAGAATCGTTGAGGCGGAGGAGCAACAGGCGGCGTCTGCGGCTACTGTGGCAGACTGGGCGGGCGGAGGCTCCACCAGCGGTGACGGCGTTGCGAGCGGCAGTGTAACAGCGGCGGCGGCGGCGACCAAACGGCTCCGGGAGCAGGAAGGTGGCTACGAGTTCACCCCTGCGGGAGTGTTTGCGTGCGCGCTGCGGCTGCGGCAGGAGCGCAGCTCTGGCACGCAAGCAGGGAAGGTCTCGGAGAAAGAGCTCGCCGAGCTCTTCTCCACGGAGGGTGAGCGGAGGCGAGTTACCAACGTGATCTTCAAGAATGCGATCGCGTGTGCGGAGATGGTCCCGCTGCCTGCTGCAGTGTTCCGAGAGCAAAAGGAGGCGCTCAACCGGGCACTGGCAGACCTAGAGGCGTCTCGCGCGTCGCAGGCATCGCGCGTGGAGGAGGCAGCGGGGTCTCTTGTTGCTGGAGAGGGAGCTTGTGATCTGCCTGCAAGTGACAGCGACATGGCAGGGATGGCAGCGGAGCTGGCGACCACGACGGCGCCAGCAGTGCAGCATGCGCTGCAGTCGCCGGAGGTGGAGCAGCTCACCGCGGAGAACGTCGAGCTGCGCAAACAGTTGGACAATCTGAAGAGGATCTCGCGGGCCCTTACAGCTGCCATCGACGGCACGGATTGAGCCTGGATTGCCAATCGACGGGTAGGGGACCCGTTTGAGTCGACAGAGACGGATCCAGCGAGCTGCTGCCATGTGCCATGCAAATGTGTATGCAAATGTGAATGCTATGTTAGAATTGTATGTTATATCACGTCGACACAGGAATGTGGGGGGAGTAATAATTAATTATAATTATAATTAATTATAAGATAATTTCGGCGGTGAGGGCGGAGCAGCCGTTGAAGGCGGCGACGCCGATCGAGGTGAGGCTGTCCGGCAGCGTGAGGCTGGTGAGGGCGGAGCAGCCGCCGAAGGCCCTCTCGCTGATCGAGGCGAGGCTGTCCGGCAGCGTGACGGCGGTGAGGTAGTCGCAGCAGAAGAAGGCTTCGTCGCCGATCGCGGTGAGGCTGTCCGGCAGCGTGATGCTCGTAAGGGTGGAGCACTCGTAGAAGGCGCCGCCCTCGAGTGCAATCACGCCGTTGGGTACAAGCGCGCGCCCACCCTCCTCATCTATCGGGTACGCCGGGCCCTCCTCCTCCTCCCCCTCCTCCTCCTCCTCCTCCCCTCCCTCCCACCGCTCCATCTTTTCAAGAGCCGCCGCCGCCACCTCCTCCGAGTCGCTGTCCGACTGTGCGCGAGTCGGGCTCCGGCCCTCGGTGCCACGGCAGCGACGGCGCGCTCCCTTCCCGCCGCGACGGCGGAGCTCCGCAAGGCGGATGGCGGTGTGGCGGCTGCTGCTGATGTCCGCTGCCGCGCAGAGCTGTCGAGCCAGCGAGAGGTGGCACACAGCTCGAAGGCGGCGTCGGCGACCGCCGCGCTGGCTCTCTCTCCTCAGCAGACGCCGCGTCGCGTCTCGGCGGCGGCAGCTGCTTCCGCGAGAGTAGTCGACGCACGCGCCTCTGCTCTGCGGCAGCAGCCTCTCGCGAGCGCGCTTTCTAGCGCTGGGGCCGGACGAGGCGAGCCGAGTAAAAAGACTCGGGTCCGGCACTCAGGAAAATCAGTAACTCGCCTCCGGCGGGGCCCCCCGCTACTAGTGTAAACCCATACAAAGTGCCTCTCCGAGAGCCGCAACGACGAATGCATATAGTCGCACACGGCGGCCGCATTTACCGAGCGTTCTCGACACGGTTACACCAGAACACCCGGTCACAGCCCGGTTGGTCCCACAGGGGCGCGAACGGCAGCCCTAGCCAGCGGCCCGAATCGATGACGTATCGCTTGATGTAGGACGAATCGGCGACGCGGTCGACGAGGTAGTTGCGTGAGGTGGTGGACGCGTTCAGCATGATGGCGCGCCCGTCCCGCCATGCGGTGCGGTCCTCCGACACGCTGTCCTCGATTGCGATGGCCTCGCACCCGATGCGCCAGAGGTGGTCGTACGCCTTGCCGTACTGCTCCCTGGCAGCCATCTCCTTGTCCTGCATGCGCGTCGCGAGCTGCTCGATGGCCTTGCGCAGCTGCGGCGCAATGGGCACCTCGTAGTACTGCGTGTAGTACTGCCAGCTCACTCGCTCCAGCGGCGTGTCCGGCAGTGGCCATGTCAAGCCGAACTGATCCTCCTCGGCCGCAATGCCGTATGCCTCGCGTAAAGTGAGTGGGTGTGGGATGCAAGTGCAAGTGCGAAAGCGCTTGCAGGTTGCAATTAGAGGGCAAAGGATCTGGTCAAGCTCTCGAGGCGGTTCACCGCTGCGACTGCTGAGAGCATCGAGATCATTAGCCGAGAACTTCCAGCTCAGCGTGTCGCGGAGCGCCTGCGCGACTACGATACAGAAGACGTCCTCCTTGTCGAGTAGCAGCAGCAGCAAAGCGTCTCCCGTGTCGTCGGCTACCGGCGAGAAGAAGTCCAGCGGTGCCGGCGACGGGCACAGGCCTGGCGTGGGGATGCTCATGCGGAGCGCGACCTTTCGCGCGCGCGCCCGCCGACGATCGCCGGGCGGCAAAGAAGAAGAAAAGGGTCAACCGCGAAACACCTCTCCGACGCGCTCGACAATATAGTCTGCCGAGAAGTTCCTTTTCTTACGCCCCCATAGTGTAACGAAGTGCACTCGTCGGGCCTCGAAGAAGTCCCCGGTTGCGGGCTGCTGCGCTGCTGCTGCGGGCGAACCCTATGTCGCGCCCTCCCACATGTTGGGTGAGCCGGCAGGCGAATGACCAAGGAGCGCGGGCGTGCAGCGCGAAGCTGCCTGCCCATGGGCCGGGACCATGCGACGGGCCGGCCAAGGCGCCGTCGCTCATCGTGCTGTCTCAGAAGGGCCACGGCCACATCGCGTATGATGGCTCACGTCTGCGCGAGCGGCAAACAAGCTTTGAGGAGGTCAAGTTGCGCAATGGCAGCCTCGCGCGCGTGGCCGACGCGTTGCAGCTAAAGTCGCTGCCGTGTGTGCCCTCCTCTCCTCGAGCGCTCTTCCGATGGGCTGCCGGTGATTGCGGTGCTACGATGGTGGAGGCATACCACCAGCTGCGGCGCTGTGAGGGCAGTAAGCACGTCAGCGACTCGGGGCTGCGGCTGCTGACGGATTGCGCGGCGGGCGAGGTGGTGGCGGCATTCGTCGTAGCGGCCGTGGCGCCGCCGTGCCTGTCAGAGGAGGAGCACGAGCAGCTCCTGGCACTGCTTCGCGCGAGGGATATTGGGACAGAGGGGGGGCTGTCGACCATGCAGCGCGACGACAAGTGGTGGGTCATTTACGACAAGGCGCGCTCGCCGGGGTGGCTGCTGAATGCACCGCTGCTCGTTGGCGGCAGATGCCAGGGCGTGAGGAAGCCGCAGGCCAACGTCGTGCGGTACGTGCCGCAAGGAGAGGAGGGCGTCGTCTTTGTGGTGGCCAAGAAGCCGCTCAAGGCGGGAGATGACCTGTGGTTCGCGTACGGCTCGAGCAACGGCATGCTGCGGGAGGTGCGCGCGGCTCGCAAGGAGCGTAGCGAGAAGCGGCCGCGCCTGGACCGCGGGCCGGCGCAGCGGAAGGAGGCGCGGCGCCATCAAACGGACGCCGCGCGCAAAGCCCGCTGGACTGGCTCGTGGGAGCGACCCAACTCGCGTGTTGTTAAGGGGGGTGAGTGATACAAGCTTACTAAAGATGAATGTTCACGCGCACCCACACATGCACACTTCAGGCCGACCAACGCATCCCGATCGCGATACTAATCCAATGAAACCCAGGACTATTGGACTCGTGGTCGTTCATCACAAAGTAGCGGAGCGGAGCGGGCGGAGCACGCTCAGCACGCACATAGGTGTGCAGGCTCTCGCCAATCAGGCGAGCGACGTAGTCTCGAGCGCCAACTGTGAGTGGCCACTCGTAGCACGGATACGCGATCCTCGTCCCAGCGGGGGCATCTCTCCATGCCTGTCCCTCGTCAGGGTGAAACTGGTCGTAGAAGTACTGCGTCAGGTAGTACACCTCCTGCGTCTCGAGCATGACGGCCTCTTCCTCCAAAGGAGGGTCTCTCCGTCGCATATTGTTCAGCGCGTTGTTCCCAACGGTGATCCAGTTTTGCTGCACGGCGTCACTCACGTCGACCGTCAGCCACGCGCCATCGCTGGCATCTCGCATGGTCTGGATGCTGCGAGCAGCCACATACCCACAAGCAGGGCCTCTCTGAGTCATGTTTGTAGTGACCGTGACGTCAAAGCCGAGGCACCGAAGCCAGGCGATGAGCGCGTTCCTCGTGGCGACACATCGTGGCGACGCATGATAGAAGTCGATGACTCGTGCCTCAAGGATCGGCCTTGGAGCCATGGCTGCGAAGACTCGCCAGGGTTCGGCACTCTGCCCGACGAGTTGATGTGGCACCCGAAGCGTGGGCAGCCCGCGCTGAACAAGAGCGTCGGTGTTCCTCTGAACCTCACGGCTTGTTCCTCCGCTCGGACGAGTCGCCTGCTTCTTGGGCTCACTGTTGGGTTCGGCGCCACTGCTCGGTGCTGCGGGCCGCTTCCTCAGAGCCTTATCGGAGGGGGCAGGAGCCTTATCGGAGGGGGCAGGAGCCTTATCGGAGGGGGCAGAGGCTGGCCCGCTCATCCATGAGCGGAGGCTGCTGCTCCCGTTTGTCGGGCGCGACGATGACGGGCGCGACGCTGGCTTCGGCGCCTCGTGCCCGAGCCGTGTGGCGGTCCGCGCGGCGAGGCTGCGCAGCGTCGCCTCGTGCTCTATGCGCAGCTTGAGCGCCGGCTTCCTCGCAATCGTCTCGGTGAGTCGCTCGACGCCGGGCCACGAGGAAAAGGCAAAGTCGGACGGGTTGCGCACGCGGGTGAGGGCGACGAAGAGCAGCCCGACGCACCACTCATCCTCCCCAGCATCAAACACGACGCGCGGCAGCGTGAGGCCCTGCGCCTTGTGGACGGTCAGCGCGTAGGCGAGCATGAGCGGGAACTGCTGCCGCTTGTGTGCGGCTCCGTTCACATAGATCTCGCTCGCCGCGCGCCCGATGCAGACCAGCGCCTCGCACGACGAGTCGAAGTTGCCGGCGGGGGCATGTTCGTAGGAGGGGCCCTTGTAGCCGTCGCGGTGGGCCGTCGCCCGTCGCACCCTGAGCACCACGGCCTCGGTCATGCCCTTGGCGTTCACAATCACGTCGTGCACGTGACCGACCGTGCCGTTGCAGAGGCCGTGCTTGATGCAGAGGTTCCGCGTGATCATCACGCGAGCGCCGAGGCACAGAGACAGGTCGTTGGTCAAGTTGCGCATGTCGTCATCGTCGGCAGCGGCAGCGATGGCGCTCGAGTTGATGGCTGGGATAGTGATGCTCGGCGTCTTCCTCTCGAGCGCCGCCTCAATCTCAGCGTTGTTCCGCTCGTCTCGCTTGGCCTGCGTGGTCACGAGGTGGTACGTCTCGGGCGACGCAAACTGAGCCTGTCGCCCGTCGAGCCGCATGTGCTTCTTCATGTACTCCACATCGTCCCGGGTGGCGAGCCCGTCACGCACACGCAGCTGCACCTCTCGAAAAGAGTCGTCGGAGGTGCGCTCGATGCGATCGAGGAAGAAGACCGTCGTGAAGGCCTCGTACGCCTCGATGCCGCGCCGGGCCCATTTCGGAGCGTGCTGCAAGAACATGCCTCGCAGCGCCGCCGTCACGTGACGCACGCCAGACCACTTGTAGCACGCCGTGTCCTTCACGGGCGGGAGCTGTCCGTGGTCCCCGACTAGGATGATGCTGAGCCCGCCGAAGAGCACGTCGACGCCTCGCGCGTGCCTGAGCAGGGCGTCGATCTGGCCGAGCGAGCGGCGGCCGACCATCGACATCTCGTCGATGATGATGTACTCGACGCCATCGAGCGCGCCGACCATCCGTTGTACACGCTCCCTGTCCTTCGGGATGATGTCGTCTCGATCAATGTCGCGGCTCGGCATCGGTAGCACCGAGTGGTAGGTCTGGCCGTTGATGTTATCAGCCGCGACGCCCGTCGGCGCGAGGACGAGGCACGCGCCGCCGAGGTACTGCTTGAGCGCGCGGATCAAGTAGGTCTTGCCCGAGCCGGCGGTGCCGCACACGAGGGCGCGCAGCGGCTGTGTCGGCGAGATCTGGCGTTGCGCATCATGCGCCACGACGGTGTCGTACACGTGCTGCTGCCCATCGTTGAGCTGCTCGACGTCCACCTCGGTCGCCGGCTCGATGATGCGCTCCTGCTGTCGAGCCCAGTCCATCCACTTGTACGCCTCCTGGATCGCCGCGAGCACGTAGTGGCTCGCTGAGCGTGCGCTCCAGTCGAAGTTCTGCTCCCCGATCCGCTTTGCCGCGCCCTCGAACACCGGGTTGACGTGGTACGCGCCAAAGTCGGGATGCGCCTCGGCGCCGGCCTCCTTCTGGGCAATCTCCTCACCCTCGTCGAAGAAGGCGATCTCTCGAAAGTCATCCTTGCACACCTGGTTGGGGAGGGTGGGCGGGGTGGTTCCCGTCCATCTCGAACGATCTCGAGCGATCTCGGCTGATCTCGCGCGGATCTCGGGCGGATCTCGGGCGGATCTCGGGCGATCTCGGGCGATCTCGGGCGATCTCGGGCGATCTCGGGTGATCTCGGTGGAGCTACGGGCACCTCTGGGGCAGCAGGGTCAATCTCGGCTGATCTCGCGCGGATCTCGCGCGGATCTCGGGCGGATCTCGGGCGGATCTCGGGCGATCTCGGGCGATCTCGGGCGATCTCGGGTGATCTCGGTGGAGCTACGCGCACCTCTGGGGCAGCAGGGTCGAGGGTAGCGAACGCCTCGTAGGCGGCCTCAAAGTCGCCGCCATGCTCCCTGAAGATGTAGTCTTTGTAGTCTCCCTCGCTCTCAAAGGCCATGTGCTTCCGCAGCATCACCTCGCAGTACTGCTTTCGCTTGGCGTGGCCGGGCTTCGCGCAGTCCGAGTGGAAGTATGGTCCGACGGTGACCACCGTCGGTGTCGTACGCCGCACAATCTGATGGCCGTTGCTGCGGCCGCCGGATTTGAACTCGTACTGCCGCCAGAACTCGGAGAAGGAGCAGCACGCGATCTCCTCTCGGTCGATGACATCGACTCCCGGCGCCGCCACGCCGAACTGCGCGAGGGTGGCCTGCACGCCGCCGCCGTGGTTGGCCAGGTTGTGCGCGCACAGCCGCGAGAGGTAGTCGTCGAACTTGTTCTTCGTGTCAACCACCGCCTCGTCGGACGCTCCCTCCTCAATCACGTCCTTGAGCTTGGAGGCGTTGCAGACGGAGTAGGCTCTGAACTCGTGCGACGCGATGACGGTCGGCATGCCCATGTTGACGTGCGCCACCTCCTGCGCGGACCAGTCTCGCCCGCCGGTCGTCTGGATGAGGAACGAGGCCAAGGCGCCGATGGGAGAGCGACCAGCCGCCTCGGCCTCGGCGCGGCCGCCGCTGTTGAGCGCGTGCGCCACGAGGGTGTCGAACGCCTTGGAGCCCTTCTCCTTCTTTGTCGCGTACTTGGTGGCATACTCCACCGCCGAGTAGTGGTCGACTATCGGCTTGAAGTCGACGTTGGATCGCTGCGAGGAGAGCTGCTCCGGGTTGGTGACGTTCATGTACGGGTCGTTCATCTTGAAGTAGAGCTGAGCGCGCACGCCCTTGGCGGAGCCGCCCTTGTTGCGCACGACGTCAAAGTAGAAGTGGGTCAAGTTCAGCTCGCGGGGCTGGAGCGGGAAGCCAAAGCGACAAAACTCCTTCCCGTGCTTGTCGCGGCGAAGGCAGTAGCTAGCAGAGCAGCGCAGGTGTCGGTTGTTCCTGTTGAGCAGCTTGGCGCGATCGTCCGTAATCACGTCGCACAGCGGCGCGTTGGCGGGCGTGCCGGCCGGCACGGAGACGTGCGACTTGCTCGACGGGTGCGAGTTGATGTCGCCGCTGCTGTGCGGCTTGCCCTCGTGCTCGTCCCAGGCCTGGTTGAAGCGGCCGCAGCGCCGCTGCCACCAGTCCGCCGCGTGCGCCGCCTTGAACTCCTCCGGCACGACGTCGCCGTCAAAGAGGGTTCCGTTCTGGTTGATCCAAGCACCCTGGACGGCGAGCAGCAGCTTCGCCTCGTCGAGTGAGCCGTCCGGCGCCTCGACGCTCTCCCATCCGCCCACGGGGCACCAGTCAGACGCAGCGGTGGCACGCTCGTTGAGCTTGCGCACCAGCTCCTCGACCACCTCGTCCGTGAGGCTCACGCCGTCGCCAAGGTTGAGCACGGCCTCGTCCACCCAGTTGTTGAGGAAGGAGACATCCGGCGCGCCCTTGAGCCAGAGGAAGTAGTGCGCATGTGTCGAGCCCCGCGACTGCCACTCGTAGCGGCACCAGTGCGCCTCCACACCGAGGGCCTCGCCGATGTGCTCGAAGAAGAGTACCGTCTGCAATCAGGGGTGCGGGCGCAGAGGTGAGGGCGGACGGCTCGGGGCGGCAAAGAGGGTGGCGGGGAGGGAAGTGGAGAGGGCGGACGCCTTTTGATGAAAGTACTGTGCGACGAGGTGCGGGTACGCGACCACGTTGGCGGCGCGCCGTTTGTACCGAACGTCAGGCTGGAGGCCGGGCGCGAAGGGATCGAGCGCCGTGCCCGTGAGCTTGGCGCCGGTGACAATGAACTGGTGCAAGTAGGGGCAGTGAGTGTCGGCGTGCGACGAGGTGGCAAAGACATGTGGATCGCCGAGCTGCTCTATCATCGCCTTCAGCTCGTTGCGCCGCTGTCGGAAGAAGGAGGGCGTGTTCCGCAGCACAGCGCCGTAGACGGAGAGCCGGCCGAAGATGGCCGACTTTGCCTCTCCCACTAGCGCGCGGAGCCTGCCGAGGCTGAGCCGGCTGGCCTCCGGGTCGCGATTCACAAAGACGCCGGCTCGTTGGAGGGCCACCGAGCGCTCGTGCGTATTGAGCAGAAAGTAGGGGAAGCGCCGGTGGCACGCAAAGCGAGAGAACCCGTCGCCGTCGTCAAGACGCATCAGGTGCCGTGACCACTCCTCCCACTTGAGCGGGTAGTCTCGATCCTGGTCAAAGTGGCCAGTGCCCATGGGGAAGAGGGTCGGGAAGGCGAGCGTGACGTAGCCCTTGCTCTTGAACTCGGAGAGGGGCAGCTTCGAACGGGGCGGCATCTCATTTGGCTGCGCACTCGTGCCGTTGCCGGCGTCGGCGCGAGGGGTGTCGGTGTCAAAGATGTCGGAATCGGTTGCACCCTGCAGCTTGGCGGCGAGCGTCTCGGCGGCGCCAGTGAGCGGATCGACGCCGCCCCTGGTGCGCGGTGCCTCCGAGTGTGGGCACCCGCCATCCACGAGACTGATTCCGAGCGAGTCGACAAAAGCCGCTAGCTCGCGATGCACCTCGTCCGGCACTGGCGCTCTGTGGCTGAGGAGCCGTGCCACGTTTTTCGCGAGGGCGTCGATGCGAATGGCATCGTAGCGGCGGCTCGTTGTGTTGCGCGGGTCGTCGCCATGCAGTAGGCAGAGAATTGCCTCGGCGTGGTCAGGGCGGATGGCATCAAGGTTGCGCTCGAGGAGGGACATTCGCACGGCTTGCGCCAGCATGCCCTTGCCAGTCTCGAGCCAGCGGAGGAGCATGGGCGAGTTGACAGAGATCTGAGAGGGGGGTGGGCGGGGGTCACGACGGCGTGGTGGCGAGAGTGGTGCTCGGCGAGCGGGCGGAGCGAGCGGTGGGAGCGAGAGGGGCGCGAGGCGAAAGGGCACCTTTTTGCGGGCCCGGCGCTGTTGCTGAGCCGCGCCATCACCACCGTCGCCGTCCTCGTCGTCGCTGCCCTCGGCATCACTACAGTCGTCCTTGAGGCCGGGGCACTCGTCCATACCCTGGTCCTCCTCGATTTCCTCGACCCTCAGCCCCTGATCCCCCCTCATGCTGGCGGGAAGTTTGTTGTATTCCGCCGAGTCGTACCAGTCAAACACGGTTCCATCTTCAGGCAAGGTGTTGTAGACTGCAGAGTCGAACCAACCCGAGGGATCCTGCTCGCCCCACGCGGGCAGGTCGGGGAAGGGCGGCACAATGAACTGGCCCGGGTGGTACGGGTCGGGGATGCCTTCCCGAAAGAAGCGGTGATGGCGCGAAAAGAACCTCAAGTAGGCGTACACGGCACGCTTGCGCACACGGCAGTCCTGGTGCGTGCCATTCTTGCCGCGCACGCGATAGACGATAAGATTGAGATCTCTGGGAGCGCGTGGCAGCTGCCGTGCGACGGCGGCCGTCTCGCTCACAAAGTTGATCACGGAGCCCTTGTACCCGAGCTGTCGCCCCGACGGCAGCTGCAGCACCGCTGTCATGCAAGTGACTGGCGAGACGAGCGCCTCCTCGATAGCCGAGAGGTCGCCGTAGTCCGCCCGTAGCCGCTCCCACTCGCAGCATGCACAGCCGGCGCCGTCGGGGCACTGGTCGACCCACTCGCCGCTCTCTTCGTCCCGACGCCTCGAGCAGCCTGACGCGGCGGCGCTCGCCACGCGAAGTTGCAGCCCGTTGCTCTCCGCAAACTTGCGCGCGTGCTTCTCGCTTTTGCAAAAGCAGCAGACCTGGCTCTCGTCGTCTGGCACGTGGTTCACGTCGCGCTCGTGGCAGTTTGGGCAGGTGTGCCAGCTCTGGTTCATATTGCGAAGCCTGTCGTAGTAGACGTCGACCCGCCGCGACCGCTCAACGGCTGTCTCAGGTCCCTGCCTCGGCGGCGGTGGCTCGCACCAGTCCGGCTGAGGTGTGGACGGTGCGGCGGCGGCGGCGCGGCGGCGAGCGTGGTCGTCGGCTCGGTGCTGCCTATCGCGTGCCGCACGTGCGCTGCTGTTGGTGCGCAATCGCTGGCGCCGCTCCTCGAGCGACTCGTCCGGGAGGATGGACATGCGGGTGGTGCGGGGTACGGGAGCCTTCTTGGATTTTTTGCTGCTCGGGCCGGGGTCCGCATCGCCGCCGGTTGTGCTGCTGCTGCCCGGCTCGCTAGCTGGGTCCTTATCCAGCTGTCTCACCTGCTTGGCTCTCAGCTTGTGTACGAGATTGTACAATTCGCCAGCCTCGCCGGCCCCGACTTCCTTCGTTCCCCCTCTTTTGAAGACCTGGCCACCAACGAACCGACCAGATTTTTGTTGTGATCTGCCATGTACTCTCGGATGGCTTGGTGAGCGTCACCACGGCTGTACTGTGATAAGTCGAGCGGCTCACCTGATTTCCGCTTGAACCCTTTGGCACCTTTCTGGTTCTGATTGCTGCCATTAGGCTCGAGCAGCTCGTTATCCTTGTTGATCGTCGGTCCGCGGTCCGTGTGCCATGTCTTGACACGCAGGTGCGGCTGCGGGGAAGCGAAGTAGAGCTCTGTGGTGGTTGCGGGCCCACTGTTGGCCGCCTTGCGCTTGCCATCACCACCACCTCCCACCTGACTCATTTTGACAACAGCTTAATAAAAAAAATGACAACACATTGTTTATGAGGCGCTGCTCGGCGGGCCTCATCATCCAACGCATGGCTCTGGCACGCCGGCCGCAGCACGACTGCGAGCATCGACTGTCTGCCAGTTCGACGCCTCCGTGGCCCAACGGATAAGGCGCCCGACCACGGATCGGGAGATTGTGAGTTCGAATCTCACCGGAGGTAACACTTTTCTCCACATTTCTCTCTCTTTTGCTTGTTCACCCGGCCTTGTTTTCTCTTTCTCTCTCTTTTGCTGCCAGCGGGCTTTCGAGCGAACACAAAAAAACAAGGACGCGGGGAAAATGTAAACACCGGGAAAAGGGCACTTCTCCTACAGATAGTCTTGGCGGGCAGGACCATACCCCTACCTTTGGGGTGACAGGACCATACCCCGGAAAAAGATGGAACCCTGCCACACACATGTAACATATATATGTATGCACCCTCTCCCGACCGCCGCCAGCGCCGCGCTCACCGGGCACCTGCAGCCGCCGGGCACGCCGCCGCCGCCGCCCGCTCGGCCGGCAACCTCTCAGTCTTGCGCCCGCGGTGCTGGCGGGTGTCGCCAAAGATAACATGTGCACGAGCAGTTTTTCTTCGACGAGCCAACGCGCGCCGCGCTGCTCCGGCTGCTCTCGCGGCACGAGCGGCCGCTGCTACTGTGCGCGCCCTCGCTCGCCGTCGCCGCCGAGGCGGCGGGCGCGCCGTACCTGCTCCTCGACCGCGACGACCGCTTCGCCTTCCTGCCGCACTTTCGGCGCTTTGACCTCGACGCGCCCACTGCCGTGGACGGGTACGCGTACGACGCGGTGCTCTGCGACCCACCCTTTGCCAACTTTGACCTCGGACGGCTGCGGCGGGTGCTCGAGGTGCTCGCCGGCGGAGACCCGCTGCGGGCCGCCTCGCCGCTCTACCTCTGCCACAACGAGCGGCGTGAGGCGGCCCTGCGCGACGCCTTTGCCGGCTCGGGGCGGCAGCTGGCGCGCCTCGCGCCGGTCGGCTACTCGTCGGTCAAGGAGAGCACGCAGCGGTCGATCCGCCTCTACGGGCCGCCGCCCGCGCAGCCGCGCCCCGGCGACCAGGGGGCAGAGGCCGCCGCGGTGGGGGCGCGGGAGCGGCGAGGGCGAGAATTGAGCACGTGAGATTATCGTGTGTGTGTGTGTGTGTGTGTGTGTGTGTGTGTGTGTGTGTGTGTGTGTGTGTGTGTGTGTGTGTGTGTGTGTGTGTGTGTGTGACGCAGGCATGTCGATTGTCGTATAGAGAGTGTGACGGAGTGAACCGAGAGCGAGTCAGAGCGAGAGACACCGCGCCGCGCCGGCCCGCCCCCCGCCGGTGTAGTGGGGTAGGTAGGTAGGTAGAAAGGTGAAGAACAGCCAGGCTCGGACTGGACACCAACGCGGTATGGGTGGACGCCGGACAGATGATGACGACACGCACGAGCGACACACAGACACAAACAAGCTCACAAGACACACTAGCCAGCTGCGGGCTGCCACACACCCTGGGTTGGCGTACACATAACTCAGGGCCACATTCTTCCTGTCGCCCCCCCCAGCACTCCAAGGTGCCAAGAGAACAAACAAGGGCACAACAAACAACAGACGACAGGAAGTGAGAGATGGGCCCAGGTTTGGGGCAAATGTAGATTTCCTGCCCAGCGTAAGGATATTTCTTTCATTTCTTTCGTCTTTATTTCGTGCCCCACCACGGCAAATTTGCGAGAAATTTCTTCGCCCCGTCACTCCATGCTCAAGTTTCGCCCCTTTCCGTGTAAGGAAACAAGGTGTCCCCCATGTTGGACCAGGCACCGTGCGGGCCTGCCGTGCCTTGCTTGAGCCGGCAGGCCCGCGCGGCAGTGATGGTGCGCCTCCGCGGAGAGGCTGACGCTGGTCATCGGTCAGCGGTCAGCGGTCATCGGTCACCGGTCAAGCGGGTCATCGGGCGTCAGTGTCATTCAGGCGTCAGTGTCATTCGCGTCAACACAGGTATGGTAAATTTCCGGAAATTTCTCCTTCCGAACAAGGCTGTCATATTTCTCAAAATATTTCGGGAAATCTACATTTGCCCCAAGCCCAGGTAGCAGGCTCCACACCACCTGACTCGCGTCGTGCCACCTGACTCTCGCCTGGAGAGGCCTCTTAGCCGAGGCACACGTGGCAATCGCCACGTGCGCCACAAGGGATTTCGACCATTTTAGAGCCTTTTGCACAAAAATGCAGGTGGCTTCAGCCACTTGCTCCATGAGCAAAACAGTGCAAAAAGCACCTGGAGCAGATGGCTTACGCCGCCTGTGGACATGGGCAAAACAGTGCAAAAAGCACCTGGAGCAGATGGCTTACGCCGCCTGTGGACATGGGCAAAACAGTGCAAAAAGCACCTGGAGCAGATGGCTTACGCCGCCTGTGGCCATGGGCAAAACAGTGCAAAAAGCACCTGGAGTAGATTCCAAACGCCGCCTGTGGCCATGTGAGCGCTCGGGTGGCGCCAAGGGCTTCGGCCCCCTCCAAGCCACCTACCTGCCCCGCCCCCCTCGCCACACGTGGAGGGCTGGAGCACGTGCGCCACCTGGGCCTGGGCAGGTGGCTCCAGGTGGCTTCGGCCCCTCCAAGCCACCTGCATGCCCCCCCTCGCCACACCTGGAGGGCCGGAGCACGTGCGCCACCTGGCGCAAGTTTGAATTCGGAAACGGAAAATCCGAGCCACGGAAGGGCTGGCCTGCCAAACGCGAGCCTCCCCGCTCCTCCCCGCGCTGCAAACTGGGACTGTGGGGTGTGTGAATGAGGGCCTGCGGCGGTCGTCGGCGGCTACAATCAATGTCCGGCGTCGACATAAGCCTGGGGCTTCAACCCGGCCCGCGCGGGCGTTTGGTGTGGCTGCAAACGCCGCAGGAGCCGGTGGCTGCGCTGCTCACGCGCCGTTGCTGCCGACGCTGAGCAGTCTGACTCGCCAATGAGAAGACTGCCCAATAATACGCCATCTCTCGATCCCCGATAAACCAGGCCATGCAGAGCTTTGTCGGCCTCGCCGACGTTGTGTGCTGGCTGCGCGGTAGAGTTGCGAGAGTGGATTGTGGAGGCGCGGCGGGGGCGGCTCGTGGTGCCGAGGCGGTGTGTAGTACATTCCTATTCAAAAGAACACGCACGATGAAATTCCCGAAGTGACGCCCAGGTGGCGCACGTGCTCCAGCCCTCCAGGTGTGGCGAGGGGGGGCATGCAGGTGCGAGGTGGCTTGGAGGGGCCGAAGCCACCTGGAGCCACCTGCCCGGGCCCAGGTGGCGCACGTGCTCCAGCCCTCCAGGCAGGTGTGGCGAGGGGGGGCAGGTGGCTTGGAGGGGGGCGAAGCCACCTGGCGCCACCCGAGCGCTCACATGGCCACAGGCGGCGTTTGGAATCTACTCCAGGTGCTTTTTGCACTGTTTGCCCATGGCCACAGGCGGCGTAAGCCATCTGCTCCAGGTGCTTTTTGCACTGTTTTGCCCATGTCCACAGGCGGCGTAAGCCATCTGCTCCAGGTGCTTTTTGGACTGTTTTGCTCATGGAGCAAGTGGCTAAAGCCACCTGCATTTTGTGCAAAAAGCTGCAAAGGACTCGTGGAGGCACGTGGCGCTTTCCGCGTGTGTCTCGTGCAAAATCCGGCATTTTGTGGCTTTCAGCTGCCACGACGCGAGTCAGGTGGTGTGGAGCCTGCTACCTGGGCCCATCTATGCAGGAAGTGACATGCGAGGCTCTAGAGCAGCTTGCTCCACCTCTAGCAATCTCTCCGGCCGGCGAGGCACGGACGAGACCGTGTGTGGGGTCGAGTGGGGGAAATGGCGGCTCTTCTTTTGGTAGGAATTCCATGTTGGGATGTTAGGAGCGGCCGCACATTGGACATTGCTCGCTACCCCCCCTGCACATCTAAAGTCATCCCTGCTGCTAGGGGGGGGGGTCTGACCCCCCCAGCAGCAGAGCGCTGCTGCTGGGGGGGGGGTCCCGACCCCCCCAGCAGCAGAGCGCTGCTACTGGGGGGGGGGGGGGGGCCCCCCCAACAAAAGGGATTGGACCCAGCTCTCCCGCCTCTTCGCCGCCGCCGCCCCCTCCCACCTCGGCTCGTGTTGTTTTAGCGGTACGCTCGAGGCAGCCCGACCGCCGTGAAGCGTGATGATAGCGAGAGGGCAACTCCGCGAGGTTGAGCGCTGCGCGGTACTCGGCGGTGTCGCAGCGTCGAGCAACACTCGGTGTCAGAGCGTTGCGCCTACATCAGTAGTCTCGTCACCGAGTGATTGCTGGCCTGTGGCGTATGACCTCGCGCGGATATCACCAACGACGAGCATGCGAAGATATGGAGCAACTTGTACAGCCCGCTGTACTCTCCGCTGTGCCACGGCGTATGGGCTGCGAGAGCAATATCTTCCCTCCTTGAAGCAGAGGCGCCGCGAGGCACGAGAGGAGAAGAAAAGAGACTGGCGTGCCCCGCGCCCGGCTGGCAGTAGGAGGGTACGCCGGTGAGACCACTGGTTTTGTCGACCATAAATTCTCGCCACTGGAACGCTAACCGTACTTAGCGCGCTGGGCGCTGGCCCTTCTGGCACCAGCGGGAGGCACGAGCGCGCACCGCCGCGCTCCCCCTCCCCCTCCTCGCCGCCTGCCAAATCACCGCGGCCGTCTGCGCCTGCTTCCGAGTATGACTCCGAGCTCGACCAATACTTTTCCGACGCCGAGGCGCGGGATAGGGTGGCAGGGGTTGTACACGACGCAGTGCAGCAGGCTGTGATGCAATACGGCTATGACGACGAGTTCTTCCAGGATTGGAGGGACGGCAAGATAGGCGAAAAGGACTTGCCGGAGGAGGTGATGGCTATGACTTTGGACCTTTGCGAGAGGTGGCAAGCGGAGCAAGAGTGGTGTAGGCGCGTCCACGCGGCGCAGCGGCTCTCCCGCGACCCCGGCCCCTCTCGTAGCCGCAGCCGTAGCCGCAGCCCCAACTCTTGCCGCTCTTCCGTGTCGGGTTGTGACGAGGGGTGAGGGGACACGGATTGAAGATCCCTCACACCAAGATCGTGCAGGGCGGGGACACATGTCCCTAAATCCCATCTCGTCTCAGAGTTTGACCGTTTTATTTATTTATTTATTTAACCGTACTTACTTACAGCTGCTGTCTTGTACAGAGATGCCACGCTGCTGCTGGGGGGGGGGGGGGGACCCCCCCAGCAGCAGAGCGCTGCTGCTGGGGGGGGGGTCGGCCATGACTTTAGATGTGCAGGGGGGGTAGCGAGCAATGTGCGGCCGCTCTAGAGGTGGGTTAGAATTCCTAGACCAGCCTCTCGGTACACGCCACGGCCCCGATGCGTCCGCTAACACGCTCCAAACATGCGCACCCTCCTGCTGCAGGTCGCCATCAAGGAGCCGTCCTCGTCGTGTACGTCGTGCTGCCGTCGCGTGTACCGAGATGCCGAACGGGCAAGAAGCATAAGAAATCAGCCAACCACAACATAGCAGCGACGAGGGCCGCGGCAAGGGGTGCAGCGGCGACGGGCGGGGGGGGGAGAGGCGCGGCCAGCTGCCGGGTCGTTGCCCCCGCCCACCGCGCCGGGCCCCTGCACCCGGAGGCGGCTTGCGGCAGCCTTCCCGTGTCTCCGTGCGACCCGCTTGGGTAGCCGGCCATGTGTGGCCCGCTGCCAGCCGGAAAAATCCGGGGTTTAGCTGGCGAATCTCAGTCGCGCTCCCAATACGTGCATCACTTTTGTGACGGTGTTACAACTTTGAGATCAACCATCGGGCGCCCAGTTGATTGCGCCTACTTTCATGAGCGGCGACATAGTAGTTATCGAGATATGGTTGATCAAAGTTGTAACACCGTCACAAAAGTGATGCACGTATTGCTATTGGGAGCGCGCGACTGATCTCTCGGGCCCACTTTAGAGCTAGGGCATGATCTTAGGTGTTCTCCAACTGTTCTGGATAGCCCACAAGGGTCTTCTTTGGCATGGTAGCGGTGGTTTTGCGCGAGGCGTTCATTCAAAAATCACCATTTCCCCCACTTCCCACTACCGCCGGCTCGAGACCGCCGCGCGCCGGCGGTGGTATACGCGAGGGGAAATCCCCGGTTCGCCCGCCCACACCTAGCCCCGCACATACGGCGTCCGAGCGGCAGACGCAGAGCGGAGCGGACCGACGGTCATTTTGGAGAGCCGTCCTGGTGTCGCCGTGGTGCCCGACGACGACGAAACGAGACACGGCTCACGTGAGGGGCGACCGCGCACGACGGACGCGAACACTCTGATCCCCACGCTTGGCGCTCGACGCGCGGTCCTGGCCGCCCGCCTCACGTCATGCGACAATGGGCCAGGCGGCAAAGGCGCGCATGCTGCCACCTTCGCTGCCCATTGCTGCGAGGATGGCCACAGAGCTCTGAGTGACGATCATGACTGTCAGGAGGAGCGCCAGAAGGAGCGTGCCTCCCTGATCCTCAAAGTTCTGAGGTCGCTTGTACTCTAGCGAGTTGAAGCGCAGCGCGTACATGCGCAACGCGTAGAGCACAAAGGCAGCCGCCGGGCAGCTGAGCGCGAGGCCCACAGATTGGACGGTGAACGAATTGCGGCCGCTCTGGAGCGCAGCCCCGACAATGGTAAGCGTTGCCGCTAGATCGAACCAGTTGAGGAGCGTACGCTCGTTCGCAAAGTATGCGCGCGGCTCGACGCGCACCGGAAACACGATGTCCGCCGGCGGAGCCGCGAACCCCAGCATAACACTTATGCCGTCGGCCTTTCCAGCGATGAAATTCGGCGCTGAACACAGAAAAGAAAACATGAAACTTTCCTTGTTGAAATCCGGGGTGGAAGAAAGAAGGAGTACACTTTTCTTCCTTTCCCGCTCTCAAAAACGGCAGCTGTCGAAGCGGCCTCGTTCAGGCCCTCATGTCGCTTTCCTCCAGCCGCACCGTCGCTGCCCTGCGCCCCAGGCCAGCGCTCGCGGTCGAGCCGTCGTCGAGCGTCGCCGGCGCCGCGGCGAGGATGCGCGAGAAGAATGCTGATGCGGCAGTCGTTGTCGATGCGGCCGGCGAGCTGCTCGGCATCATCACCGACACGGACATCGCACGCGTGCTGGCCGAGGGCGGCGACCCGTCCGTCGAGACGGTCGAGGTCACGATGACTGCCTCTCCACGGTCCGCGCCACCACCTAACCCGACGGACATCGACATTACCACCTAACCACCACCACCTCCTCTCATCCTCACCACCACCACCACCAAACCCCTCCTCACCACCGCCACCACCTAACCACCACCACCACCACCTCCCATCCTCACCACGACCTAGCCCGGCCCCGACCCAAGCCCACGACCTAGCCCGGCCCCGACCCAAGCCCACGACCTAGCCCGGCCCCGACCCAAGCCCACGACCTAGCCCGGCCCCGACCCAAGCCGACCTACCCCACCAGGTGCGTGCGCTCGACCGACGCCGCGGTGGACGCCCTCACCACCATGGTGGAGAAGCGCTTCCGCCACCTTCCGGTGCTGCCGCCGTCGGGCAGCTCTCCCGTGGTCGGGATCCTCGACATGCGCGCCTGCCTGTACGACGCCATCGCTCGGCTCGAGCGGCACCTGTCGCACGTCTCTTCGGCGATGAGCTCCGCCCTCTCGCGCTCGGGCCTCACCGCCGCGGCGGCGGCGGGCACCGTCGACAGCCTCGTCTCCAAGCTCTTCACGCCGACCCTCTCCGAGGTGCTCGGCGAGCAGCTCGGCGCCGTCTCCATCGCCTCGGACTGCAGCGTCGCCGCCGCCGCCGCCGCCGTCCGCGCCGGCCGCGGCGCCGTCCTCGTCCACCGCGCCGGCGCGGCGGCGGCGGGCGAGGGCGGCATCGCCGGCATCGTCACCTCCAAGGACGTCGCCTTCCGCGCCGTCGCGGCGGGGCTCGACGCGGGCTCGGCGGTGGAGGGCATCATGACGCGCCGGCCCGACTCGATGCCCGCGAGCACGACCGTGCTGCAGGCGCTGCACCAGCTGCAGTATGGGGGCTATCGCCGCATCCCAGTCGTCGCCGAGGACGGGGCGCCCGTCGGCGTGCTCGACGTGCTGCAGCTCGTCGAGGCGGCCCTCTCGCGGCAGGCGGCCGCCTCGCACGGCTCGCAAGGCTCGCCCGGCGGCGGAGGCCCCTGCGACGCGCCCGGCTGGCGCGGCTTTTGGGACGGCGCCGAGTCGCTGGTCGGCGCGCCCCTCTACCAGCCGCCCACGCGCAAGACGCTGGGCGAGGTTGGGAACTGCCTCCCCTCCCTCCCCTCCTCTGGCCGCGACGGCGCCTCGGAGCCCGGCCCCGCCCCGCCGCCGCCCTCGCTGCCCGCCTCGCTCTCCGCCTCCGGCTCCGCCGCCGGCTCCCGCCCTCCGCCTGCGGAGCGAGGGTGCGCCCTCCAAGGGAGCGCCTTCCTCTTCAAGCTCCTCGACGCGGGAGGGGCGGTCCACCGCATCCGCCACGCCTCCCCCTCGCTCGACGACCTGCGCGCCGCCGCCTTCGGGCGCCTCTCGGCCGGCCCTCCGCCCGCCGGCTCGCTCCTCCTCTACGAGGACGAGGACGACGACCGCGTCGTCCTCTCCTCCGACGCGGAGCTCGCCGACGCCGTGCAGAGTGCGCGCGCCGCCGGCCGCGACAGGCTCGTGCTGCATGTCGTCAAGCGCGCCGGCGCCGCCCCGCCGCCGCCGCCCGCCGAGGCGGACACGCCGAAGCCGGCGGCGGCCCTCTCGTCACACGAGCGCGTCTTCCTCATCGGCTCGGCCGCCGTGATGGGCACCATCGTCGCCACCGTCGGAGCCCTCTCGCGGGCGCGCTGACGCAGCGCTGGGGCGGCGGCGCCCGGGTGCTGGGCGGGACGGGAGAGAGCCGCGCCCCTCTCGATGGCGGGAACGGGCACAGTGCTGGGACCACAGGGAGGAGAGAGGCTGAAGGTGCGAAACGCGGTGGCGGGGGGGGGGGGAGGGGGAGGGGGGGGGGAGGCCAGGCGTGGGTCTGTGCGCAGGAGACTCGGCTCTCGGGTGTGTGACGTTGTGTGGGCAAGAGAAAGCCCAAGGTGTGTTGTCCAAGCGGGGTGTAAATCTCCTCTCAGGAGACAGGTGGAACTTTGAAAGGTTTTGATCTTTGTCAATTTGTCAAACGATTCGCCCGATCACGTGTGGGCGGTGCAGGTCCGCACCGCTATTGACTTGTTGCAAAAAGTCTCGCCTCGGTGCTGCAAAAAACGCAAAAACTACCAAAACCCTGTCACGGCCAGCTCGGCACTATCTACTCAAGTGACGTAGAGCAGGTGTGTGTACTTCTTGCTTGGGCGGCAGCCATGACGGGGTAGGTAGGGTAGGTCTGGCTGGGCCCTCCCATCGGGTTTTTCCCACTCTTCCCGCTGGAATTTCACGAAAAAGAAAATTTCCGGGGAAATCACGATGTCAACATGGGTCACCGGGTGATCTGGTGCTTGTAGGGCCTTGGCCTGCCATGTCGTAGGAAGGACTGTGGTTGCAGGACAGTACCACCAATTGTCAGTTGGCTGTCCGTACTTCTTGTTTTGTCGCGGCCTGGCTCATTGCACTTTGGTTGGCTGGAAGCGGGAGCGAGGCAAGCGAAGCTTTAATGGCCGAGGAGCAGCTCTCCGAGTATGAGAAGGCGCGCCTGGCCCGGATCGAGGAGAACAAGCGCATGCTCGTCGCACTTGGCATCGAAGAGGCGTCCAGCCAGTGCCGGCACAAGACGCCCGCCGCAAGCAAGAGCAAGGCGCGGGCGGGGCCGCCGCCGCTGTCCGATGTGCAGCGCGCCGCCCTCGCCCGCGCCGAGCAGTGGCTCGAGCGGTTCGAATGCTGGCTGCGGGGTGAGTGCTCGCGCGCGAACGCCGACAAGGTGATGGAGCGCGTCTCTGAGCTCGTCTCGGGCAGGGGCGTAGCTCTCAAGGGGGGCGTGGAACCGGCCTACTTGGGGAGAGCCGTCTCCATCTCGGATGACCTGGTTGCGCTCAAGGAGCACGCCACTGCGGCGTACGGAGCCCTCGATAACGGCGGCTGGCACCTCCGCCACCCAATCGGCAAGCTGATCAAGTTTCAGCAGGTGCTCTTCTCGTCGGGCGGCGGCGGAGCGACGTCGGAGGCGGCGAGCAGCAGCGACGACCTGGAGAGCGGCGGCGGCACCCCCTCCTCTTCGAGCGGTGCGGCGGCCGGCTGGCTGGTCGAGGGCGCCGCGGTGGAGGTGGAGATGGACGAGGAGGGGCTGCGCGGCTCTCGGTACGGCGCAACCTTCCTCGGGTTTGCGGACGAGGCGAGGCGCGTCGCGCGTCTCCAGTACACGCACCTGACGGCGGAGGAGGGGGGCGAGGAGAGACAGCTCGTCGAGGAGGCCGCTGTCGCTATCCAGCAGCCGATGAGCAACGCATCGATGACGGTAGGAGCGGCTGGTCGAGGAGGCGCCCTGCGCGCGGCTGCGGCCGAGCCCGCCCGCAATCCTCGGCTGGTCGAGCCGGCTGCGGCCCGGCGTGCAGTGCGAGCTGTGGCACGAGGACGGGTGGTGGGAGGTGGTCGTGTACGAGAAGCGCAGGCCGCCCAAGCCGCGCGGCGGGCCCGCCCAGTTCGAGGTGTACTCCGAGACGTACGGCGAGGTCGAGGCGACCGTGGGTGCTGGTCGGCTCCGCCCGAGGCTCGTGCCGGCGCACGTCGCGAGTGGGCTCGCCCTCCGACTGGGTGTTGAGCGATGGTGCATAAGCAATAGGCTCGTGCTCGTGCACGGCCGCGAGTGGCTCGCCCTCGCGCCGTTCGGATTCAAGTGCGCCGTCGGCGCGGCGGAGCACGTCTTCTCGCGCGCAGAGGCCGAGGCGGAGGCGGCGGCGGACAAGGCGGCGGAGGAGGCGGCGGCGGAGGCGGCGAGCGGCGCGGCGGCCGGCGCGAAGACGAAGAAGAAGAAGACCACGACGAAGAAGCGGCCGCGCGGTGAGGCCGAGGCGGGCGAGGAGGGGGCAAAGGCGGCCGAGGCGCCGAGCGGGCTCCCAAAGGCGGGCTCGCTGCGGCTGCACCTGCTGACCGCCCTCTGCGCCGGCCTGTCGGACCGCTCCGCCATCGTCGGCTGGGTGGGGCAGCGGGCGAGCGGCCGGTTCGGAGAGGGGTCGGCGAGCCGCGGCGACGCGGTGACGACACTCTCGGCAAGGAGAAGTCGATGCTAATGAACACTAACAGTCGATCATCTTCTCTAGGTGACGACTCTCGGCAAGGAGAAGTCGATGCTAATGAACACTAACAGTCGATCATCGTCTTTAGGTGACGACTCTCGGCAAGGAGAAGTCGATGCTAATGAACACTAACAGTCGATCATCTTCTTTAGGTGACGACTCTTGGCAAGGAGAAGTCGATGCGGGTGCCGCTCTGGCGGCAGGAGGGCGCGTTGTACGCGCTGACAGCCGCGGGGCGGGAGGCGGCCCGGCGAGGCGGCATCCCGCTGGGCGGGCAGCGCAAGCGGCAGAAGAAGGGCGAGTGAGGCCCGCGCCGCCTCGGCGGCGGGAGGCGCGAGGGGCAAGCGCGTCTCCGTGCGTCGCCTCCCACGGCGAGAGACGCGGCCCGGGTACCAGGGGTGGCCCGGCCTAGCTCCGCCGGGCCACTTGCGAAGCCGTACTGTCGCGCGATTTGCATGGGCTGTGCGCCGAATCGGACGCCGCAAGAGAGAGTGTGAGACATCGTGCGTCGTGTGTGCGGCTCTCTAGCGGTAGCAGCGCGGCGCGGGGGCGGGCTTCAACTTGCCCCGCGGTCTCTGCCGGGAGTCCGATCTGTCTCCGATCTCCGTGTCGGCGCACCGACCACCGATCTCTCCCGATTTTGCTGATGTTGTGTATACGTAAATGCGTACAGGCTCTCAAAACGTACCTGGCCGTGTGTGGCTGCTGCCTCTAGTAACCCCATCATGCGTGTCTCATTCCGCCTTTGGCTTCGGTTCTGTCTCCCCGTCGCTATCGCTGTCCTCCGCGTCGCCGTCGCCCTCGTCCTCCTCGGCCTCCACTGCCAGATAGGCGAAGAAAGCAGACGCACCAATCGCGCAGCCGAAGAAGGTGGCGTCGCGCTTGGTGCTCGCAAACTCGCTCCCGTGGAGGAACGCAGCCACGTACACACACAGGAGGACAGCCCACGCCGCAAGCGACGCCCACCACGCGCGGCTGGACGCCGCCGCCGCGGCGGGACGGCGCACTGTCATTTAGCTCTCTGCTCGGTCACGCCTATCAACGCGAGCGGCACACTGCCAAAAAAAGTCTTTGTCGACCTCTGGAAGAACAAAACGCGAAAAGAAAAAAGAAGAAAAACTCTGCCTTCGGGCACGCGGGACAGAATGACGGCAGGCTGTGGAGCGACAGACAGAAACACAAAATAATAAAATGGGCTGCCACGAATCCCGAGTATCCTACGGCACTACTCCAGGGGGGTATAAAACTGCCCGAAAAAACAATTCCGGGCAAACTCGCGCCCTGCCGCTATCGCGGCTCGGACACAAGGACACAACGACCTAACCGAGGTCAACATGAGCTGCCGCTACATCCCGCACCGCGGTGCCGTCGACCTCGGTCGCGCGCATCTCGTGTTGGACGGGGACGATGCGCGGCCGACCTCTCCCGCCGAGGCCGAGTACCAGGACGCGCTCGCGCGCCGGCTGTTTGCGGGATCGCCCGCGACCACGCGCGTGCTGCGCCTGAGCCAGCGCCGCCCGTCGGACGAAACGCCCGAGCCGTCGCTCCAGCAGTGCCTCCGGGCAAACAAGCGGAAGCGGCCTGACGTGCGGCGGCGGCACATCCCGTCCTCGCCCACGCTGATCCTCGACGGGCCCGGGCTGCGCGACAACTTTTACCTCAATGTCGTCGACTGGGCGGCCACCAACATCGTGGCGGTCGGCCTCGAGGGCGTCTGCTACCTCTACCACCCGCGCACCGGCCTGGTGCAGCCCGTGGCTCAGGCGGCGGGAGGGGACGAGGGAGGCTACGTCACGTCCGTCGGCTTCCGGCGCGACGGCGTCCGGCTCGCCGTCGGCTCGAGCGGCGGGAAGGTCGAGCTGGTCGACGCGCAAGAGACGACGGCGCACATCTCCTCGCTCGGCGGCGGCGGCGAGGGCCGTGCCTCCTCGCTGTCGTGGGGCGGGCCTCACGAGCTGGCGGCCGGGTTCGCTGGCGGTGCCGTGGCCATCTTTGACGTGCGGCGGCGCGGCGGCGCCGCCTGCACGCTTCCCGCCCACCGCGGCGAGGTGTGTGGCCTCCGCTTTGCTCCGGACGGCGTCGCGCAGCTCGCCTCGGGCAGCAACGACCACACCGTCCGGGTCTGCGACGTGCGCTCGCCCCGCGCGGCCAGGCTGGAGCTGACGGCGCACTCGGCGGCCGTCAAGGCGCTGGACTTTTGCCCGTGGCGGAGGCACTGCCTCGCGACGGGCGGCGGCACCACCGACGGCTCTATCCGCATCTGGGACACGGGCGCCGCCGCGGAGCGAGAGCTGCAAAGCGTGGCGACCGGCTCGCAGGTGTCGGGCGTGCGCTGGTCGGTGGCGCGGCGCGAGCTGGTGACGAGCCACGGCTTCTCGTCCATGAACTCGACCTCCAACTCGGTCCGGCTGTGGCGCCCCAACCTGCTCCCCGTCGCCCAGCTGACCGGCCACCGCGGCCGCGTGCTACACCTCGCTGTGAGCCCAGACGGAGGGACCGCCCTCTCCGCCGGCTCGGACGAGACGCTGCGCTTCTGGAAGATCTCGAGCATCGGAGGGGCGGGCGGGCAAGCGAGCCCGCCGCTGCCCGAGGCCCTCTCGGCGCGCTGCCCCGGCCTTGAGCTCAGCCGGATCCGCTGAGGGAGGGCCGCCGGACACAAACAAAGGCGAGCCCTCGCGGGAGGCGCGAGCGAGCGCGAGCGGAGCGGCCCGGAGGAGACGAAGCGAAGGGACGGGAAGAAGAGAGAGCGTACAGACTACGTCACAAGGACGGGCAAGTACTCGTGTCTGAAGGCCATTTTCTTGCTCTGGTCCTGGTTGCTGTGCCTGTGGCATGACGCATGTCCTTCCATGCACATCGGTATGATCGGATCAGAAGTGAAGAACAGTCCCACTCCCAGAGAGGCTCCCCAGCTCCCTGACTGGACACCAACCACAAAAGAATCTCGCACAAGAAAAGAGAAAGCGATTACGAAACAAGAACACAACGCACTCTCTCACGGACGACAAGCGATCCCACGACAGCGAGTGTGGGGACTACATGATCCGTACGTGAAGGGTGGAGGGGCCCGTCCGCAGAGCAGTAGGTAGGTAGGTAGAAAGGTGAAGAACAGCCAGGCTCGGACTGGACACCAACGCGGTATGGGTGGACGCTGGACAGATGATGACGACACGCACGAGCGACACACAGACACAAAAGGCTCACAAGACACACAGCCAGCTGGCTGCCACACACCCTGAGTTGGCGTACACATAACTCAAGGCCATATCCTCCCTGTCGCCCCCCCCAGCACTCCAAGGTGCCAAGAGAAACAAACAAGAGCACAACAAACAACAGACGACAGGAAGTGACATGTCAGGCTAGAGCAGCATGCTCCACCTCTAGCAATCTCGCCGGCCGCAAGGCACGGACGAGACCGTATGTGGGGTCTAGTGAGGTGTCTATGGACGCCCTCCTCATGGGCTAGCTGCCTGCGGCTAGCCCTATCTCGCACTCACGGACAGCGACAATCAAATGGGTGAGTGTTTGCGAGCAGAGGCGCGTGGGCTAAATCTAGGCCGCACGTCGTGGCACTATGACGAAGTAGACGTGCGGCCGCAGCGCGCCCGCCGCAGGCTCGGCGGTGCGCGCGTGTTAGCGACAAAGTTGCGGGTGGAGCCATGCCCGACTTTTCGAAGGTGAGGCCTCTGCGACGAGTGCCAGCCGCGCTGCGGAGCCACGCCCTTCGAGCCGCGTCCCGTCGGCACTGTCCCTGAGTGGTCCCGCCTTGGCGGCACACACTCTCGACCAGGACAGTCCTGCTGACGGGAACGTGTCGCGCGCCGGCGACGGTTGCGGCGTGCTCGTTGTGAAGCGGAGATGGCACGACCACCGCCCTGCTTCGCAGACCGGGCAAGGAGGGGCCTGCTCCCGTTCCGCGAGGAACGGGAGGTCTCCCGCCCTCCCCCGGCCTGAGCAGCGACGCGTGGAAGGCAGCCCCTTGAGTCGAGGGCGGCGCGACCATTGCCGAGCTCCAGCGACCAAAGGCCCGGGCGTCTGCTGATGGCCGCGCCGCCCCGCTCCGCGCCGCCCGCCGCCGCGCCGCGCCGCAGCCCGATGATTATTAAGTAATAATTAATTAACAATTCATTAATTACCCCACCCGGCGCCACGCCGCCCCGCCCTGCGCCGCCCGCTGCCTCGCCGCGCCGCCGCCTCGCGCTGCCCGCCGCCGCGCCGCTCCCCCGCCCGAGGATTAATATTTAATAATTATTACCCGATTAATAACGTGTGTGTGTTTGTGTGTGTGTGTCTGTGTGTTTGCCTGATGGCAGGGAAGTCCAAGGCAGCGGCGAGCGGCAGGTGGCGTCGGCGACGTACTCAGGACACGATGGCGAAGCCCACAGCGCAGCATGCGCGGCAGCAGCTCGCCGGCGGCCCGCGTCCTCGACCCCTAAATAAACTCAAAGTCCACCACAGCCTCCAGCCACCGCCTCCAGAGCAGGCCGGGCACCCCCCCAACTGGGAGAAAGAAAAGTGAACTTCCTCTGACACATCACAGCGCAGCAGCGCCGCCGCGACATGCCGCAAAGCCACGCTTCTACAAGCCGAACGCGGCCGCTCGTGCTCGCTGCGGGCTGCTTTGCAGCCGCCGCGGCGCAGGCTCCTGGCGCACCTATCATGAAGCACTCTTTTATGGCGCCGTTCGAGGCCGTAAACGACTTCACGGGCATGCGCGTTATCTCCGACTGGGAGCTGGGCGGCTCCGCGGTGGCGCACAGGGGGTTCGTGCGGCTGACGGCGGAGAAGCAGTCGCAGAAGGGGTGGATCGCCAACCGCAACTCCTTCGAGGGCGGCGAGTGGAGCCTCGCGATGGAGCTGCGCGCGACGGGCGAGTCGCAGGCGTGCCGCGAGAGCAGCGCCGCCCTGCCGCCTCGCTGCCACGCCGCCTCGCGCCCGCCTGCTGCCGGCGAGCGGCTCCAGCTTGGCTTCATCGCGGCCGCGCACACCTCTTCTCCCCTCGCCCACCCCGCGCCAACTTTGCCCTCCGATCTGCCGCCCTCTGCACGCCTCACGTGCACGGCTTCCGCTGAGCTCTCCCTCCCGTGCGGCGGCAGTACCTCTTCGGGGACGGGCTCGCGATCTGGTTCACGACGGCGTACGACGTGATCGAGGGGCCCGTGTTTGGCAGGGAGGACTATTGGACGGGCGCTCTTCTCGCCACCTCCCCCTCGCGCCGCGGCGGCCCTCCCCGCCTCGCTCCGCCCTCACCCTCCCTCCCACCTCGGCGCCAGGGCTCGGCATCTTCTTCGACACCTTCCAGAACGTGCGGCCCGCCGCGAGGACAGCCGCGCGCCGCTGTCCGCCGCCCCACTCCTCCGCCCCTCCCCCCTCCCTCCCTCAGGTCGACCAGCAGCACCACCACAAGCACCCGTACATCTACGCTATGGTCAACGACGGCACGCAACACTACGTGCCCGACGCGGAGAAGAAGCTCGACAAGGCGAGCGGGGAGGGTCGGGAAAGAGCGAGGCCGCGAGCCAGCTGCGCCTCTGACCGCCGCTCCCCGCCTCTCGCGCTCGCCCCCCCCCTCCATGTGTGCAGGCTAAGCAGATCCTGCCCGGCGCGCACGACAACTCTGGCTGCTCGTTCGACTTTCGGTACAACGAGGCGCGGCAGGACGTGTCGGTGCTCAACCACACGCGCGTGCACGTCACCTACTCGGCTTCGCAGCGGCGCCTCAACCTGCGCCTCCAGCAGACCTCTGTCGGACACGACGGAGAGTGGTACCAGTGCCTCGAGGCCAAGGACGTCGAGCTGCCGAGCAGCGGCTACTTTGCTATCTCGTCGGCGACGGGCGACCTGGTCGACAACCACGACATCATGCACTTCGTCGTGCGCGGGACGGAAGGCGTCGACAACGTGGACCAGGCTCGGCCCTCGCCACGCACTTCCACCCCTCCACTTCCACCCCTCCACACACCCCTCCACACACTCCACACACCCCTCCACACACCCCTCCACACACCCCTCCACACACCCCTCCGCACACCCCTCCATCGCTGCAGACGGTGACCCGGCCCCCTCCTCCTCCTCGCCTCGAGACCCGCGCCCCGCCCTCCCCTCCTCGCCGCAGGACCACCAGGCGTGGCTCGACCAGCAGAAGGCGCTGGCGGCGATGCAGCAGTCCGAGCTCGACTTGCGGCCAGCCGAGGCGGTGCAGAGGGACTACGCTCGCGCGCTCGCCGCCCACACCGCCTCGCTAAAGGCGCTGTCTGCGTCGGTCGACAAGTTGCAGCAGCAGATGGAGTTCCAGCTCGCGTCGATCCAGGCGGGCGTGGCCATCGCCCGCACGACGGTCGACGACAAAGCCAACGAGCTGCGCGAGGTCAAGGAGCGGGTGGAGAAGGAGTCCTCCTCGGCCAAGGTCATCTCGGAGCTCAAGAAGGACGCGGCCGACGAGATGAAGCAGATGAAGACGGAGTTCAAGGAGGCGCTCAAGTCGGGCGGAGGTATGTCCACTCTCTCCTTCTACTTTCTGCTGCTGCTCATCGTCGCCCTCGGCGGCGTGGGCTACAACCGGTACCGCAAGATCATGAAGTCGCACCTGCTGTGAGCCCCCGGCTCGCCGGCCCACGCCCCAACACCCGCCCTGACCCCCCGGCCCCGGAGAGGGGCGCGGGCTGCAGGGTGGGGAGGCTGGTGCGCGCGCCGAGGCGGCGCGGGTGTATGAGAACTACAGGAGAGAGAGGGGGGCGCCCGCGTGTGTGTGTGTGTGGTCGAGTGGGGGGCAGGGCGAGGGCTCCCAGTAGCGTTTGTGTCCAGGAGGGCGGCGGGAGAGAGGTAGCATTGGTCACAATGTCGGAGGAGGGGGGGGGGGGGGGCTCCGGGCCTCCGCGGGCCTGTCGACCGCGACCTTAGTGGTGTAGAGCAGCACATACGAGAGAAGAGAGAAAGGACGGACGCGACCGCCCACAACGACGAAACGAGGGATGTGGGAAGAGAAAAGAGCCGGAGTGAAGGACAGCGCGCGATGCGGCCGACCCCGACACGTAGGCCCGGCGGTCCCCACACCCGCCTCTGGCAGTGGCTCTGCGGACTGCGCCACCCCCCCCCCACCCCGCACCCGCCTGCACCAAACCAGTGAACCACCGTCCACGTACCGCGCCGTACCACGCGAAAAGAAGACACGACACGAAAAGAAGGAAGCGCCGCTGCCGGGATGGGAGAGAAGGGCACGCCGCCAGCCCGCCACCACACACAGGGATTCCCAAGAGAAACACTAGTAAGTACACTAGTAGTAGACCGGCACACCATTGCACACCATCCCGGTCCATCCCACTTTAGGGCTTTTGGGGAAGGGGGGAATTCTTCTCGTTGTGGTGGGGGCGACGGCTTCCGTAGAGGAAGCCGTCGCCCGCGCCTAAGAAAGAAAGAAAGAAACGGCGGGCCCCTGAGCTCCCCGGCCCTGGATGTGAGGCTGCCAACTGCACTCCAAGTGCTCCAAAGCCGGCGATCCAGCTAGGGCTTGGTCGAGGACAGACACGTCCCCAATCTTTGTCGCCCGCAAAGAAAGAATAGTTGAGAGAGATTTTAGAAAATCGTGAGCCTGCCTCTGGCCTCGCCTCCCTCTCCTTCAGGCATTCGTGGCATCCTATGGGTCTCGTCCAGAGTATCGACCTCTGGCGAGTCAGCGCCAGCCCCACTTTGAGGGCGCCATGAAGTACAGGCTACAGCGATCGCCACCCCTCGCTGGCCTCTCCGCAGGCCCCCCCGACCGCGACGTCGAACTCATCGGCGCGGGCTCTCTCGGCTACGGGACCGGCCCCAGCTTCGGCTGAGGGCTGACAAGCTGCCGAGCCCAAATCACTGTGAGAGTCGTGATTTCTCTATAATTGATAAAGAAATAAAACAGAGACCCCACCGCCGCCGTCGCTCCCTCGACCTCCTTCACCGCCGTCCCCGCCAACGGCGCCCCCGGCTCGGCCTGTAGCCGCCGGCGCCACCGCCGCCGCCGCCGCCGCCACCGCCGCCGCCGTCGCCTCCGCCTCTGCCACTGCGGCCGCTGCGCCGCAAGAGAGGAGCGACGACCTCGAATTATAAGGCAAGGTAAACATCTTTCTCCGCTGGTCACACGAAGCGACGGACGACGGAGGGCGGACGGGCGCTAACCACGGGCAACTACATCGTACATGCCGGAGGTTCAACGACGACTACTCGCCGCCTGGGTCGTTTGGGGCGCGCGGCTCCGTCGAGGACCGGGCGCGCCCCTTACCCGGCGCGGCGTAGGTCCCACTCTGACGAATCGAGGGGAGGCACGGACGACGGCCCAATTCATCAACTCCACTCATCTTCTGGTGCCTATCCCTGTGCAGCGGCGGTCCGCATGGGCGCCGCGGAAGCTGCTCGACAGGCTGCGGGCATCGCTGCGGCAAAAAGCGCCCGCCCTCTGCTTTCCTTTCGCCCGCGTTTTACGACAACTTTCGGTTTATCATAGCCGCCGAACTTTACCTCGCTGTTTCTTTATAGGCGTCTGTATTCTCGTATTATTTCAAGTAAGGTATTGCGGGGGGGGGGGGTACGTATTCCCGTATCACTAGCTCCGAGTAGAGGGGGCGTCCTTGCAGTTAAGGGGAAACCTGGTACGCGGGTCCAACCCTCGGAGAGTATTCTTTAGCTCCGAGTAGAGGGGGCGTTCCGCAGCTAGGGGGACCCACAGCGCGAGGCAAAAATTCCGCCGCTGTGGGGGAAACCCGGAGCGCAGAACTAACCCTCGGAGACCCGTGTTATGGCCCTGCGAACGCGCACCCGTCCCCCCAGGGCTAGGGCTCTCTTGCCCGCAACCCGATCCCGATCATCCGGCCCGCTGGGTGCGCTTCTCAGCTCCCCGGCCCTGGATGTGAGGTTGATGACTGCACTCCAAGTGCTCCAAGACCAACGAGGGATGGGACGAGGACAGGGTCCCCACCTGCACGAGCAGGATTTTGGAAGGACGATCAGGAACACAGGGGGTTCTGCTCCTGACAAGGAACACGACAGGCTCGCAGCGCGGTGCTCGGTGGACTCCCAACTCCACTGGGGGGTGGCGGTAGTCTCATCTCAGTCTAGCGACCTGCCTCCAGCTTCTCACTGGCAGTCTCTCTCTACCACAGGCACACTGATGGCAGGGGCGGCAGTCTCCCAATACTTGTCGCACTTGGAGCACTTGGAGTGCAGTCTAAAGAAACAAAAGAAAGAAAACAGACAACCCAAGGGAGGGATGGGAGGACGGCACTGGAGTGCAGAATAAACCCGCCCAATAAAATTCTTTTACTCAAGTAGCGACTCATAATGTACACCTCGCGCGCGAAGGACGACCGCCGCGAATTCACTGTCGCCGTCCTAGCACGCGGGCGCTCGCGCAGCTACCATGGATTGGAGCAAACGATTGCGGCCCGGCTCCGACGGCGCTCCCCCTGTGTCTGCCGGCGGTGCCATCGCTTGCTGCTCGCCAGTGCTCAGCAGCAGCGCGGCTGCTCCGCCGTCGGTCGTGACCTTTGGCGGTGCTAGCATAGCGGTGCCTGCACCTTCAGTGCGACAGTACTCGGTCGACACTCGCGCGTCTACGCCGCTGCTGAGCGCGGCGGAGGCCACGAGAATTGACAGCGAAGACGCCGACTTCCTGCTGTCGCCGAGCGCCACCCCCGCGGTCGGCGCTCCAGCAAGCGTGCCGCAGCTGGGGGAGCCTCGGCTGCGCTCCTCCGTCTCGCGCGTGTGGACGGAGCAAGGCGCGGTGGAGGAGGAGCGAGCGTACGAGCTCGTGCACGTGTGCATCGACGGCCGAAGCATCGTCGTCGACATGCCGGTCTCGCCGCCGGTGCCGCGCCGTGCCGCTCACAACTTCAACCAAAAGCCCGTCCTGACGGTGCGAGCGCTGATGGAGCCCGGCTCGGTGAGCGGCGCGGACTTTGCGCCTGCGGGGGGCGGGCTCTCGGCGGACGAGGTCGCGCGCTGGCTGCTCACCTGCAAGCGCCTCTCCACCAACCGGATCGGCGACTACCTCGGCCGCCCAGACGCAGGGCCGGTGCTGCTCGCGCTTGTGGCACGGCTCGACCTGCGCAGCCTGCCGCTCGACGAGGCGCTCCGCTTCTTCCTCTCGCTCTTCAGGCTGCCCGGCGAGGCGCAGCAGATCGCGCGCGTCATCGAGACGTTCGCTGCCCGCTACGCCGCATGCCACGCCGCCGGCGCCCTCTCTCGCGCAGACACGGCGCGCAGCACCGCCCCCCGCCCGCCGCAAGTCGCCCGCCGCCGCTTGCCGCCCATCACCGCCTGCCGCCTCCGTGTTCGCCCGCCTTAGCCGCCGCTAAGCGCGCGCGCGTCCCTCTCCGGACGCGAGCTGGATATATAGCCTCGCCCGCAGGTGTACGTGCTGTGCTACTCGCTCATCATGCTCAACGTCGACGCGCACTCGCCGCGCATCCCCGAGGCGGCAAAGATGACGTCGGACCAGTTTGTGTCAAACAACCGCGGCATCGACGACGGTGGGGGCCAGTGAGAGCTGTCTCGAGGTGCAGCCGAGGCGTGCGTGAGGCTGGCGAGAGGCGCGAGTAGGTGCAGACCTGCCGCGCGAGCTGCTCGAGCAGCTGTACTCCTCCGTCGTCGCGCGCGAGGTCAAGATCGAGCAGCGCGAGTTCATCGAGTCCTCCGCGCAGGGGTGGCTGCTCAAGCACGGGGGGCGGGGCGGCTGCTGCGGCGTGTGCTGCGCGTGGCGGACGGCGCGGCGCTTCTGCATCCTCTCCTGCGCCCAACTATCATCCGAGAACCTTCCGAGACCCTTCCCATAGGCGCGGCGCTACTTCATCCTCTCCAATTCGGCCCTCTGCTGCTTCAGCGCCCCCGACCCTAGCAGCACTGAGCAGGAAGGGCTCTCGGTGAGTGCCAACAGGTTCTCTACTACTTCAACGCCCCCGACGACGCGCTGCCCCTCGGCCTGGTTCCGCTCGAGGACATTGCCGCCGCGCCGGCGAGAGAGCGCCTCCCCTCCCCGCCACAAGCGGCGCGCGCGGCTGAGGCCAATGGTCGCGTCGCGCGACCGCAGGTGCGGGGGCCTTGCTGCGGGCTCCGGCCGTCGAGCGCCTTTCGGCTCGCGCCCGCAAGGGGCGGCAAGTGGATGAAGTCGCTCAAGGCGTCGGCCGGCGCGACGGGCGGCTTCGAGCTCGGGCACCACTCGGACTTTGTCCTGCACGCGCCATCGCCAGAGCTGATGGAGGAGTGGGTGAGCGCGATCGACGAGGCGGCGGTGAGCAGCGTGGTGGTCGGCGGCGGCGGCGGCGGCGGGCCGGGGGCGAGGGGCAGCGCAGGCAGGAGGGGCGCCTTCCGTCGGCTGCTCCCTTGCCTCTCCCCCTGCCTGGAGGCGGCGGCGCAGCGGCAGGGGCGGCCCGGCCAGGCGCAGATCGAGGCGGCGCGCACCCGCGGCTGGAGCGGCTTGGGCGCCGAGTCGATGCGGACGAGGAGCCCGGCAGACGGCTCGCGCGCCGTGCTCTCGCCGGCCGGAGCGAAGCCTTCGGATGCGCCTTCCTTCAAGGCGCCCCCCGCCGTGGTGGCGGCGGTCGGCGAACGCGAGTCTGCCAAGTATCGCGTTCTGAGGGACCTGGTGTGACCGCGGCCCTCGTTCTGCCGAATCGGCGCGTCTGTGCATTCATGTGCACTCTCAGCGTCCGTTTTGTGTTCTTGAACTTTAATCTAGTGTGGCGGGGCGGGAGCTGGCATGCGCGGGAGAGAGAAAGTACGAGAAACGCTGTGCTTAAAGCCGTAGGAGTAAGGAGAGAGAACACTGATGAGATCATGAGAATATATCGTACACACACCCAGCACCCACACTCTCTCCCACAAACACACGTACACACCGTCGGTGTATTCACACCGCGCACATATAGAGTATTGTGTGGGTCTGCTGTCTCTCTAGATCGAGCACAGTATAAACAAACCGAAATGTGTCTCAACGACCTAGTGCTAGTCAACGACGCACCTGATCACAATCACCGAGTCAGCTAGCCACGCTCTGGCTCACACAAGTGCTCGCAACCAAAGTCAGTCCCACCAGAGGGGAGCGCTCCACGACAGCCCCGGCCGCCGCCGGCAGCGGCGCGTCGTCGCTCGACTGCACGGTCACGTACAGCGAGACGGCGGCGAGCACGGTGAAGATGCCCAGCCACTGCAGCCAATTGGCCACTGGCTCGCCGAGAAGGGCGTACGAGGAGGCGGTCGCGACGACCAAGCGCAGCGAGGAGAGCGACGTGAGGAGGGTCGCCGACAGCTCGCGAATGACGAGCACGTTTAGACTCTGGCCGACGACGTAGACTCCGAGCGCGAGGAGGAGCAGGCACGCCCACCCGTCCGCCCGCATCTCGAGCAGCGCTCGCCATGACGCTCGGTCGGCCGCGGCGGTCACGCCGCCGAGGAGCGCCGCGGTGAAGCCGAACTGCGCCATCAGAAGCTCGTGCCGCGTGACGAGCTTCTTCGTGCCCTTGACGGTCAGCCTACCGCCGGTCGAGCAGAGGATCGACAGAAACTGGAGCGCAATGCCCGCATAGTCGCGGCGGCCGAGGGCGCGCGTGTCAACTGGAGTGGTCGCGCTCCCGAGAAGCCCGGACTGCGCGCTGATGACGAGGAGCGAGCCGGCTGTGCTCAGAAAGAGCAGCCGGCCGAGCCCAGGCGGCATCGCCGTCCCGAAGAGAGCTCGTTCGAGCGCAGCGACGGTGAAGGGCTGCGTCAGCATCACGAGCGCGTTGATGTAGGCATAGGTCAGGCCGCACGCTACCATGTTCATGCCCATTCGGCCGAGCGTGAAGAGGCAGTAGATCACAAGCCCGCGGACTGCCGCGGCACACGGTGGCCACGGGCTGAGAGGCGAGGCCGGTGGCGCCGACTCGGTGGCACGAGAGGTGGTGACAGTGGCGGCGACGTGGCGCTCAGCGATCAACCGAGCCACATCGATCACGATGGCGACGAGCGCGATGACGAGAACGGCCGCGAGGACGGCCGAAGCAGACGGTTCGCCGGGAACCCGAGTCTGGAGGTAGCGCGAGAGCGCCGGGTAAGTACCCCAGAGGAGCTGGCTGACGACTGCAAGAGCGATATATCGGGACTTCTTGGTCATGTCTGCCGAGCCGAGCGTGCTTCCCATGGCCATGCTGGCGTATTCGCCGCGACACACGAGCTAGGGCACCATTCGCTGCACAGCGGACGGTATGGGCCGGTGTTTTGTCCTAGTGAATACTCCAACGCGCTCGTGTGACGGTGTCCCTCAACTTGCGCCGCGCTCGGCGAACCTCGACAGCGCTTTCGGTGGCATGTAGGGCTAACCTGGGAATGTAAGCGCACTATGGCTGTGCTGTCTCCTACACAGCCATCTTACCTAAGGATGGCTGAGCTAGCTACAGTGCAACCACATCCTTCAGCCCGATGGCTGCAACACACACACGGCAGCCATCCTTAGTAGACATGGCTGGAGACGCACTACCGCAGCCATACCGCCCGCCTCGAGCGAGGTGAGCTCTTGGCTGAGCTGGCTACATCGCAGCCATCTTGGGTAAGATGGCTGGGGGACAGGCATTTCAGCCATTTCAGCTATCTACTATGGCTGGGGCATAGAGATTGCAGCCATCCTCCAGAGCCATGGCTGGTGATAATTGGATGGCGCAGCCAATGGCAGCCGTCCCGCGAGGCCGGGGGCGGCAAGCGCGCAGCCACTTGTGTGTGTGGCGGGGGCGGCGGTCGGCTCCCATCGAATTATCACCAGCCATGCTCCGGAGGATGGCTGCACTGACTGTGCCCCAGCCATAGTAGATGGCTGAAATGTCTGTCCCCCAGCCATCTTACCAAAGATGGCTGCGATATAGCCAGCTCAGCCATGAGGGCCCGCCCCGGGGCGTGCGGTATGGCTGCAGCAGCGAGCTTCCAGGGCCAACCCTACTCAGGATGGCTGCCCTGTGTGTATTGCAGCCATCGGCCTCGAGGCTATGGCTGCACTGCAGCTAGCTCAGCCATCCTTAGGTAAGATGGCTGTGTAGGAGACAGCACAGCCATAGTGCGCTTACATTCCGAGGTTAGCCGGCATGCAGTCTCCAGCTCTTTGCGACAGAAGCCTGGAGAGCAGCTCCTCTGCTGCGCACACGTTCTGCACAGTTGGCACAGCCTACTGTGCGGCTGCCACAGCTGTGACAGCGATGGGCTCGCCCTCACTGGCCCTCAGTCACTTGTGCTGCGGCTTGTGTGAGCGACACTGCTCGGCGACTGCCGGCACACTGTGAGACCATGGGTGTGAGGTTAAACCACGCTACCAGCGCTTGGTCACATCGGCCCCGAGGTCAGATCCTTCTTACTCTGTTGATGACCGTACGATGACAAGACTTGTCTAGGTCGTGGAAGCTGTGATCCCAAGGGGGGGAGCCGATCCCACTCGTAACCAACTCTCAGGAGCAGTAGGTGGGCGAGCTTCAGGCACGCTCATCTCGATCGTCAAGGCGTCGCTACGCGCGGTCTTCCGCGGGGGGAGCGTCGTCGACGGGTGCGGGACCGCGGCGCAGTCAGTGCCGTGGCGATGCCTCCGGCTGTTTGCGGCGGGCGGCTTGCTGCTCGCTGCATGGCGAAAAACTCGTCTCGTCGCACACCAAGGGCTTATGCTCTGGCGAGACGTGAGGCGCATGCGCCCAGGAGGGGAGGGGGCATGCGTAACGACACTGCTAGAGATGCCTTTGGGGGCCCAGAACAAAACTTCTGTGATGCCATGCGTGACCTCTAGTAGTGTCCCCAGCTATGGGCGTGTCCACGTTGGAGCCAGGTGTGGTGTGGACGCGAGAATAGCTCCGCCGTTCATAGAGGCAACCGATGCGAGTCGACTGGTGTGTGTCGTCGTGGATTCGTATCAAGAATACTCACTAACACAAGACTTGTCTACTGGCTGGAGCCGAGCAGGAGGGCCCAGCGCACAACCCCTGGTCAACTCACGGTCCACTCCCTCTATCTGGCTAGGAGCCGGAACCCAGGGACTCCCTCGCCGGGGCTTGATTTGTTTTCTTTTTGATACCGTTTGTTTCTTTCTAGTTTCCTTTTTCTCTAGACTTAGAAACGTACCCTGTCAACCACCAGCTCATGTTATTGCTGATTCATGCGGCATGTAATGGCCTGCCTCCAGACCCGCGCGCACACAGTACACAGACACAGACACAGCAACACAGACACAGACCGACAAACACACACACACACACACACACACACACACACACACACACACACACACACACACACACACACACACACACACACACACACACACGGTGGTCCCGGCCTAAACCTCTCCTCTCCCCCTTCTCTCAGCTAAGCCTAGGGCACGAAAAATCTGGACGTGGGCTCTCACACCATCCTAGTCCATTCCTTCCTCCTCTCGCGCTGTAGCCGGACATACTCCGCCACGACCGTCCGGTCGCGCCGCGGCGCGCCCTCCTCGAGCATGTACCAGCCGTCGCGCGTCGCCGGCGCCGAGGTCCGCGCCGAGGTCCGCGCCGAGCGCGAGGAGATCGCCGGCGCCGCGCGCGCGGTGGACGAGTCGCCGAGCCGCTTCTCCGATGTGCGGATGAGCTGGACGTGCTGGAAGTGCGTGAACCACGCGACGGCGATGAGGACGACCGCCTCGCCGAGCCAGAAGCGGTTGTAGGCGGTGAAGGAGTAGGGCCAGAAGAGCTTGACGTCATCGTTGGTGCGCGCCTTGAGGGTGAGGTACGCGCCCCCGAGGCCGAAGAGGACGGTGGAGACCGTCTCGACGCAGATGATCCACGAGCAGTTGAACCAGAGGATCGCCACCAGGTAGAAGAAGGCCGCGAGCGGGAAGGCGAGCCCGAGGAACTGGTGCGCAATCTCGAGCCAGCCGGTGTTGACGATGCACATGAGCAGGAACATCCACTGGTAGTAGCCGAGGAAGGTGCCCGTGAAGACCTTCTCGAGCGGGCCGACCCAGGTGCCCTCGGGCCGCGCCATCGCGTTGTTGCCGAAGCTCCACATGTTGAGGAAGGAGCCGAAGAAGACGGCGCCGTGCAGCGCGGTCGCAGCGGGGCTGTCGATGTAGCCGGAGAGCGAGGCGACCATCCACGCGGGCGCGGGCGCGAAGCCGACGTAGTGCTGCCACGGCTGCGAGAGCAGAAACGCGGTCGGCCCGACGGCGGAGAGCCGCGAAAACCAGCTCCGGAACGAGCCGCGCTCGTTGCGCAGCACGGTCTTCGCCGTCTCGGCGGTGACCGTCACGATGCCGACCTCCTTCTTGGACGCCATCGGCCCGTAGACCCACATGCCAGCGTCCACCCACCACCTGCTGCGGTACTGGCAGCCGAACACCGCCCACACGCCGTCCGGGTGCGTCGCAATCGTGTGCAGCACGGGGAACCAAAAGACGGCGCTCAGCGCGGTCGCCTGCAGCCGCCACAGCATCGCCGAATCGGCGCCCAACACCTCGTCCTGCTTGGCGCCGAGCAAGGCGAAGTTGCTCCCGTTGGCCCCCCCGCCCGCCAGCGCGAAGCTCGCGAGTGCGTCCGCAGTGACGGGCCCCTGCGCGCTCGGCGCGGTGACGTTGCTGAGGGCGGCCATCACTCCGCCCGCCGGCGTGGCGGCGCCGCCCTCGCCCCACGGGATCGGCCTCCAGCTCTGGCCGGCGCAGGAGGGCACCTCCGAGCCGAGCGAGGACGGGTCCTGCTCGGTGAAGGGAAGCACGAGCCGCCCGTCCCACGAGCCCCAACAGCTGATGTTGACTGGCTCGGGCCGGTCGAGGCTCGCCGCCGTCCGCCACATCTCCTCCTCGCAGCAGCAGTAGTACTCGTCCGAGCTGTCGTCCTTCGCGACGCCCGCCGCGCCAGCCTGCTGCCCGGGGCAGGAGTACATGCCCGTCCAGCTGCAGTCGATCGCCTCGCTGCACCGCTCCGGCCAGAGGCCCTCCTCGAGCACGCCCCACAAGTCGTCGGTCAGGTTGGCGGAGCCCGCGACAATATCCTGCATCGACGGCGGGCAAGGCACGCCCGGGCCGCAGTAGCCCCGCTCGTCGAACGGCCTCGACATCTGGAGCACGCCGTCGAAGCGGTGCCTAGGGTGTCAGCAACCTTAGTCAGCGACCTTCATCCCAATCGGCGCGCTGCCTATAGGGGCGCGCCGCCGCCGCGTCCGCCCCACGCCCGCCACACCCCTCCCTCCCCTCGCCCCTCGGACCACTCCCCCAGCAGGCGAGTCCCTCTCCGCCTCTCCTACCCCTGCCGGCGAGCCCCGTCTCTCTCGCTCTCCTTCTCCTCACCCTGCCGGCGAGCCCCGTCTCTCTCGCTCTCCTTCTCCTCACCCTGCCGGCGAGCCCCGTCTCTCTCGCTCTCCTTCTCCTACCCCTGCCGGCAGCCCCGTCTCTCTCGCTCTCCTTCTCCTCACCCTGCCGGCGAGCCCCGTCTCTCTCGCTCTCCTTCTCCTCACCCTGCCGGCGAGCCCCGTCTCTCTCGCTCTCCTTCTCCTCACCCTGCCGGCGAGTCGCCCGTCGCGTGCGACACGCCCTGGAAAGGCTTCCCTTGGAACCCGCCCGCGGCGAGCAGCGCGAGCGTTGAGCCGCCGGCGAGCCCGGCCACCTGGGCGGGCGAGGGCGAGCTGAGTTGCAGCGGCGCGGGCCGCTCCCTCGGCGGGCGCGTCGCGCCGAGATGCAGCCGAGCGTCGCCCGCGTCGGCTCGAGCGAGTGCTGGAGCCACATGTGCGCGCCGGTGAAGAGGAGGAAGACGGAGAAGCAGCCCGCGTCCACCTGCAGCGGAGTCATCGAGGGCGGGCCCCAGTCGGGCCGCTGCCGCAGCGTCGCCCCCACGACGAGCCAGATCCAGAAGAAGGCGCCGCCCGCGACGACGGAGCCGCGCAGCTTTGTCAGCGTCGCGTCCTCCATCGTTGCGAACCGTCCGCCGTCCTCGGGCCACGCGCCAATCCCGCCGCGCACAAAGAGGATCATCAGGCCCTGCCCGCGGGCCGAGCTTGTGAGGTGGGGGAGAGCGCCGCGCGTGCGCGCGCGATGGGCTCGGGCACACCGGGTAGACTGCGGCGACGAAGGTTCCCATCACGCGGGAGAGGTGGAGGTAGCCGAGGAGGGACACGTCCCACCGGTCGGGCCCCGCCGCGCCGAGAAAGTCGTTGCAGTTGCCCTGCAGGCTCGGCAGCAGCCAGACCATCAGCGTCGGCCCGAGCGCAGAGAGGACTGCCACATCGACGCCCGACCACCCCAGCGGCAGCCAGACGGCGCCTGAATAATAAAGGATGGCTCATAAGCTCGAGAATGCGGGACCGGCCGAGCAGCGGTCGGACGACGCCGACGATGAAGGCGAAGACGCCCCAGCCGGTCATCTCGGGGTCGGAGCCGATGTCGACGCCAAATATCGACAGCTCGAACACCTCGCCCGGCTTGTTGCACAGCACTCCTGCATGCTCGCCGCACCCCTCGTAGATGAGCGCTCCCATCGCAATCATGCCAACCGTCCCGAACATGCGGCCGGTACACTCGGCAAACATGAGGAAGAAGTTGGCCACGAACCACCACCTACGAGCCGCGGCGTGCTCACTGGCGATGTGCAAACGCACACAGGACGGGACAGGAGCCGGCGCTCACAGATACTGAGCGCCGCGTACGCCGACCGTGTACGCGGACTCCATGACCTTCTCCATCACGAGACGGCGTGTGCACCGCGCTCTCTGCTCTGCTCAAGCCAGTGGTACGGCCGACGCGGATGCTCGGCGAGAGCCTCCGGCCGGCTTCTTCTCACTGCCCGGCACCGCAGCGACCCTCGGAGTCCTTAGCCGAAAAGAATCTTCACCTAATTTTCTTTCTTTACTAGGCACGGGGCTGGCGCGCACTGGCACTAACACAGGCCGAAAAGAATTTTACAACCCAACTCCCTCGCACGACACTGGGCACGGGACTGGCGCGTCTTCTGATAAATGCAGTATGGAAGATACAAAGAGACTGAGGAGCAACGAGCGCCCTGGCGTGAGCCGAAGACACTGGCGCGCACTGGCACTAGCACAGGTACACCCGAAAAGAATTCGGAAGGGCCGCCGCGCTACATGTCGCCTCGGGCGATACGTTCGCTGGACGGTGATATGCAGGGCCTCTTTAAACTTTATGTGTCACCCCTGTGGCGGTGATACCATATCGGCGCCGCTACCCGCTAGCAATAACGCCTGGTGCGCTATATACCAGTCAGTGGAGTGTGTGTGCTATCGCTGCCGGGTGCGTTTCGAGCGTTACTAATCGATACACATCGGCAGCGCTACATATCGGCTTTTGCGTGGTACATATTACCCCGACCGCTCATAGGTCATAGCGCCCCAGATCGCTGCATAACGCTCGCGCTCATATCGGTCTAACTGGTGATATGTGACACTGGCGCTACATAACAGTCCGGGCGCTGGCACTCTGATACGTATGCTATCGGTCTGGACCGATATAAGTAGCGCCTCTGCTATCCCTGTCGTAGCCGATGAAGATCGCGCGTGGTGCATGTCTGCCAAAAATAAAAAATTAATGACATTGTACAATGAATCTTGCGCAGAGAGTTGTCTTTATGATTTGTCATGTTGTTGTTGGTCATTACTGGGAACCAACTTTCGGATAGCCCTCATCTGGACCGCGAGATTAATTGAGATCGCGGGGAGATTGCACGAGATTGCGCAAGATTCTGATCTCGATGAGCAAATGGCAGACTTTAGCCTAGATTTTGAGAGAGAGAGAGATTTTTGAACTTGGTCTCTCTAGATTTTAGCCGGCAAAAGGTGAAGGCAGCACACCATTTTCCCTGGGGAGGTCACACTTGGGAATGATGAGGTTGTAGGGCTAGGGGCGAGGCGGACCGGAGGCGGGCGATACGCGCATTGTTGGTTGAAAGTAATTCACACCGAGGTGTTGCATACTGACTCCGGGGGGTATCGCCACCGGATATGTGCTCCCTCGGAGGTGTCTGATTTGAGAGAGAGATTTTTAGCAATACCAAACAACTCTAACACTCACACGTCATTTGGGGCCTGGAGCCCTGTTCACGCGCGCGCGAGACGTGCAGACAGGGTTGCCAGGTGAGAGCGAATGGCGCGGTTCACGCCTCGCACAACAGAGAGAGAGATGCGCTCTGCATGGTGGGACATAAAAGAGAGCGAGTACTTGGGCGAGTAGGCCGTGCGGTCAACGCTGCCGCGCGCAACTTTGCGCGCGAGGCGGCGCAGCTTGAGAACGGCGGTGGGCGAGAAGCCGCCGCCGAACGTCTCGTGGAGCAGCAGGTTGAAGTTGTTGCGCTTGACAAAGATCGCGTCGTGGTAGAAACCGCGATGCGCCTTGACGTAGCCGTGGCCGGTCTTGTGGGAGAAGGGTTGGCCGGGCTGCCCGCGCGCCTTGCAGCCCATGTTCAGGCGGCGGGCCTTCTCCTCGGTGTTGCCGAAGGCGTAGGAGTGGCCAACGGAGGCGGGTGTGCCGCCACTCGAGGCGTTGCCAACGCCCATCGAGGAGGTCTTGAGGAGGGGCGTCCAGAGCTTGATTTCATTCACTTCATCGCACCCCCCCGGCCCCGCATGGGGTTCTGCGAGGTCAGTCTTGTACCCCTCGTTGTACTGCCGGGTGAGCTCTGGTTTCTCCTTGTCGCCGTGCACGACCGGCGCGTTGGCCGGGGCGCGCATCGCGTCCGCCCAGGCGGCGAGGACGCCGTCGTGGGGCGGCCGGTGGTGGGCCTTGTTGTAAAGGTAGTCGCCGAAGAAATCGACTGGCATGCCCCGCTCGAGCGCGACCCGAAGGGTGGGAAGCGCTGCGGAGAGCCAAAGGCCGAGCTTCCGCTGGAGCTCGTCCTGGATGGTGTCGGAGGAGAGGGCGGTGGCGTACGTACCGTCGACTCGGACATCGAAGGCCTTGCCGGCGAAAGGCGTTGAGGCGGAGACGAGGCGCGTGGCTTCGCGGTTGTTGACGGCGCTGTCTCCGAGGGACGGGTTGTTCTTGACGTGCACATCCCGCGCCTTGACGAGCTCCAGGTGCGCGAACCAGTCCTTGTGGTTCTTGATGGCAGCGAGCGCCCGCGGCCGCGGGTACGTGGATTTGCAAGTGCCATGTGCCATTGAGAATCGCGTCGGTAGCTGGAAGGGACTCGGGCTCGGGGAGCGGGACGCTCTTGGCACTTGGGGTAGAACTCAGTCAGGTAGCCGCCGCGGACGGTGTAGTACTTGTTTTTGTCGCGGGTGGTGCGCTTCTCGCACACCTCCTTCCAGTCCGAGAGGGCGGACTCGTAGGTGGCGATAGCTGCGGCGATGGCGGGGTACTTGGACGCACCTCCCTCGTCGAGGGCGAAGTCGGGGTTGTGGGCGACGAGGGTGCGCCAGTTCTTGAGGAGTGACATGGAGAAGTCGCTGTCGGCTCGCGAGAGAAGGCGGTGTCGATGTTGCACCCGCCCATCTCGGTCGGCAGCTGTGCCTGGAGCCACGCGAGGTCGCGGAGCGCCTGGGGCGAGGCGTCGGCGCGAGCAATGCCCTCAAAGGACTTGCGGATGCGGTTGTGCGCAAACTCGAGAGCCTCGCACGCGACATTGGGCGGCGTGATGCCGGCAATGTACTTGGTCTTTGCACAGGCAATCCGTTGGACGAGGTTGAGGCGGAGCTGCGAGGTGTTCGTGACGCAGTCAGTGTCGACGATCGTGTCGATGGCGTCGAGCGGCGCGAGCTTCTTCCTGAGGTGCGCGGTGAGCTCCTTTTTGCAGGCTTCAGGGTCGCCAAAGAAGGTGCCGACGGCCTTGAAGCAGTCCACTCGCCCCGTGGGTTTGCCCTCCTTGTCGCAGTGCGCCGGCGAGCCCCGGAGCCAGCCCGGCGCGCACGAGAGGTCGCCCTCGGGCGAGTAGATGAGCGACTTGCTGACGCCGTCGAAGACGCTCGCTCCCTTCTTCTGCGCCTCGAGGAGGCCCTTTGGTCCGGAGTAGGCGGCGACGGCGCGCGAGGGCTCGTCGTTCTGGCAGATGTCGTCCGCAAAACCGATGAGGCGCATGGTCGGGTTGTCGCGACTGCGTGGCAGATGTCGTGGAGGAAGCAGACGCTGAGGATGGTGGACAGCGCACGTCCCTGGATGACCCCGCAGGCGGACTTGGCGTAGTTGGGGTCGTTGTAGTCGGGGCAGTGTCGAGGCTGAGTGGGTCCCAATCGGCGGCGGAGAAGTCCAGGTCACCGCCGTCGGCGGAAGGCAGCCGCAAGGCGCCCTCGGCCTTGACAAGGCGGATGAAGCTGGGTGTGCCCATGATGAGGCGAGCGACGGGTAGGAGGTCAGGGCGTCGCTTGCGGATCCAGTCGAGAGGAGCTTGACGCGCCCACAGCCGTTGGGGTCAGGCTTGTTGTCGGCCGTGAGCGCCTGGGCGATCGTGTTGTAGAAGTTCTCCTTGTCGCCCGAGATGGTCGCGTTCTCCGGCTTCGTGCCGTGCCACCCCGCGGGGCGTACAGGTGAGTGCCGTTCTTGGAGAACGCGTAGTTCTTCGGGAAGTTGACAGGCGCACGGGCGCGCTCCTCCGCAGCCTCGGCCGCCTCGAGGTCGGCGAGAGCGGCCGTCGCCTCGGCCGAGCCGTGTCCGTGCGTGATGCACCTCGAAGTGTACGCGGCTTCTGCGGTGGCGGTGGTGACGGTGGCGTCCTCGAGTGCCTCCGCCCTGGCCTTGGCAACCTCAGGCAGCTGCGTGGTGCAGAACTGCTCCGCCCAGTCGCGCTCCTGGAGCGCGATGCACCGTTCGGCTGAGCGCGTGAAGCAGGCGTGAAGATGCTGCAGAGCCCGAGGGGCCTGCAGCTGACGCCATCGTCCTTCCAGAGGCAGACGGCGTTGAGGTCGTCCTCAAGCCGCTTGAGACGCTCGTGCATGACACCCCAGCCAACGGAGGTGCAGAAGTTGAAGAGGCAGTCCGCCCCGTCGGTCGACTCGGTGATGATGCGGATGAGCTCGTAGTCGACTTGGGTCGGGCCGCCCTTGCGAGCGCGAGGCAAAGACTTTGCGAACTTGTTGAAGAACTTCCACTTCAGCTCATACCGCGGGGCGCCCGGTTCGTCGGCGGTGACACTGGCAGGCGGGGCCCGCGCTTGCGGCGTCTTGCCGAGGTAGTTGGCGACAACCTTGGGGTCGCGGCCGTCGGCGGGCGCGGAGGGCGAGAAGGCCGCCACGCCTTGCCCAACTCGCCCCGGTTCGCGTAGTAGTGGGCCCTCTTGACCATCTGTTCCATGGAAGGCTGCGAGGGGCCCGGCGAGCCGGCAGCGTCGCCCTGCTCCAGTGGGGTAGGCGGGACGGGGAGAGCGCCAGTTCTTTCCAGAGGGCCAGGAAGCCGTCGGGCGAGTGGGCGATGGTGGTTTTGTCTTCGCAGTCGCTCGCCGATTCTCGCTGCAACCTTCATTCATGCCACCTCGCGGTCGTCCCACTCTCGTCGTTCTCTCCCCTGTCGCTTCCTCCTCTGTCGCTTCCTCCTCTGTCGCGTCGCTCTCCCTGCGTCGTGCGGTATGTGTGTCTCGCTACTAGACGGCGTTGGTTTCTTCTCTCGTGCCCGGTAAATAAATAAATAAAACGGACACACCAAACAAGGGGTGGAAGAAGGACAGGGTCCCCACCTGCGCGAGCAGGATCTTGTAAGGACGATCAGGGACACACGGGAACGGGAGCGGGGAGCGCATCGCGACTCGGAGGGGGGCTGGGCAGGGTTCACACACACACGACAGGGTCCCAGGAATTCCCCTCTCGTATAGGACAAAGTTGCACCCGGCGGCACGGGGGCAGGCGCGGGCCTCCTACTGGTTGCGCTCTCCTTAGTTCTCCTGCTCCTGACAAGGGACAGCGACAGGTTCGCAGCACGGTGGACTCCTATTCCACTGGCGATCTCTCTCGACTAGCGACCTTCCTCCGGCTTCTCACTGGCAGTCTCTCACTATCACGGGCACACTGACAGAGGCGGCCAAGGCTCACGCCGTGCGTGGGTGGCAGAGGCGGTGATAGGAGTCTCCCACTCTGTGGGCTTCGCTAGTGGTGCGGCCTACGCGTGTCCTCGCCCTTGCGGTCTTGAGAGGGAAGGGGAAGGGGGCTGTGTGTCTGTGTATGTGTGTGTGTGTGCATGTGTGCCCGGTAAAAGAAAGAAAGAAAGAAAACAGGCAACCCAAGGGAGGGATGGGACGATGTGTGAACCTCTCACAGGCCAGCGCACAGCGCCATAGGAGGTATTTTCTTCTCAATAACAAGGCTGTGAACGGTGTCGTGAGGAAGTTCGGTCGTAAAATTCTCTCGACACCGAGGCCGGCCGACAGGCATGCGCAGCACATTCCTCCTCCCGCTACGCTGTGGTCCTCACGCCACGGGTTCATGGACCAAGCAGCTCGCCGGCGCGCTGCGCACCGCGGCCGCCGTCGACCCGATGAGCCGCGTGCTCTGGCTGATGGTCGGTGGACTGGGAAGCGGCACGCCGCAGGACAGCCTCACGCCCGATCTGATCACACTGCTTGCGAGCGCATACGACTGCACGCCGGAGGAGGCGCCCTGTCTCGACGTCGTCCCACTGGCAGGGGCCGCTGGCTGGGAGCTCGAGGCGGCGGCGACGCAGGAGGGCGTGACGTCGCTGCTGCTGCCGCCTGGCGAGGAGGAGGCGACTCGGCTGATCCGCGAGGCCCGCCAGCAGGCCGGACTAGCCGAGCTACCAGAGCGGGCTGTGGTTGTGGGTGGTGGCGACGCGGCGCCAACGGCTTCGGCCGAGGGCGCCGCCGCCTCTTCCGGTGCCTCCGCGCGCGGCATCAGCCACGAGCGTGTGGCGGTGGGAGGGACCTTCGATAGGCTGCACGCGGGCCACCGCCTCCTGCTCGCAGGCGCGCCCTGTCGCCACCGCCTGCTCGCCCCGCCCGCTCCAGCGCAGCGCTCCAGCGGCCGCGCTGCCACCGCGCCATCTCATCCCCGCACCCACCGCCTCTCCCGCCCCGAGCAGTGGCTGCGCTCGCGTGCAGCGGCACCTGCTACGTCGGCGTGACGGGCGACAAGCTGCTCGCCAACAAGGCCAACGCCCACCTCCTCTGGCCGTACGAGAGGCGCGTCGCCGCAGCGACAGACTTCCTTCGCGCTGTCCGGCCGGCACTGCACGTCGAGACGTCTGCGTTGCTCGACCCCGCGGCGCCGCCAAAGGCAGCCACGATGGAGAGCATCAGCGCGCTGGTCATCTCGAGAGAGACCGCCGCGGGCGGCGCCAAGGTGCAGCAGATGCGGCGCGATTGCGGCATCGCTTCGCCCCTCGCCCTCGTCCTGGTCGACCTGATCGGCGCAGAGAGCCAGCAGTCGGACGCGCCCAAGCTCTCCTCGAGCGCTCTCCGGAGCAGGGACGCGGCGGGCGAGTAAGGGCGGCAACGTGATCACAAGGCGCGGACTTGCCTGCCGGTCTCCGCCAGGCGTCGCCGCTCTGCGTCACACCCCCTCATCACGAACCGCGCGAGCACTCGGGCGGCACCTCCGCGCTTCGGTGGCGCTATCTGCGCGGAACGCGGTGACGAAGGGACGTCGCACGGACAGCGTGCCGCACAAGTCGCGTAATTAAAACATGCGGCCTCGCGCTCCTTGTTACTGCTACACAGGAGCCGCGGGCGTTCAGCGAGCGTGGAGCGCGCGCACCAGCCTGCACCCTGCAGCCACCAGCACGAGTCGCTGCTCCACCGCCTTCCCCTCCACCAGGCACCAGCACCACGGCGTCCACGCGCCGCCGGTCTCTGGGGGGGGGGGGGGGGGGTCTCGTCCCTCTCGCCTCTGACCTCTCGCTGCTCACTCTTCTGATCTCTCCTCTCTCGCAGTAGGCAGTACGGCTCTTTGGCTCTACCGTGACTACTCTGTACTCTCAAAAAATTAGACGTCTCCTCGTATCTGCATGCCCCGACCGAGCACCGTTAGCGTTAGCCGTTTACCGTCAGCGTCTCGCTTGTTGCTTCTGGTGTTGCACTCCCCTCCGGCTTGCATTGGCCAAGGCCATTGAAGCGCCGCTGCGCGCTGGCGCTGCTCAGGGACACATAGGACATAGAAATCAGAATGAACAATGATGACTTACCACCCCATAACAGTCCCTCTTTCTCCTTTTGCTCTCGTCTTCTCCACGCGGGGCACGCCTGCTGCTGGGGCCGCTGTTTTCAGGCGCGCTGCTCGACGCCAGTCGTCACCTCGACCCCCATGCCCAGCTCCGCAGTCGACCGCTCCTGCTGCCGTGTGCTAGCGGCGCCGCCACCCTGCCTTTCGTACGGGACAGCGCCACCGCGGTCGCTCACGCCACGAAGCTGCCATCCGAGCCACACCAGCCAAATCGGTAGTACGACCCCGTCGAGCAGCGCTTGCAGGGCGAGACCCGCCTCGACGAACACCTCCCAGTCGACGAAGCGTGATACCTCGAATGAGAAGCCCAACACGGCCAGAAAGGCTGCGAAGAGGCCGAGGTGGGCGTGGCCGGGCGAGAGCTGTTTGGTCGAGTAGGTGAGGCATGACGCGACGACGATGCCTGTCGCAAAGAGGAGGCGGTCCATGGCGTAGAGCCACAGCGTCCGCGAGTGAACCATGATGTAGGAGATCTCGAGCGACTGCAGCGCGGCAAAGTGGTACGCGGTCGCATTGTGCTCGTCCATCATTTCTGGCCAGCGCGAGATCCAGTCGGAGGTGCTGCTCAGCCCCGCCTCGGCCGTAAACTCCACCACCGTCAGCGCCGCCGCAACCACAAAGACGATGAAGATTGCGTTCGAAGCCGACTTTGGACCCTGCGCGTCGAGCACCTTGGCGAGGCTGCGGGCGGGCGAGAGGAGCGTGATCCACGCAAAGCACGAGAAGAACATGCCAGACACCAGCAGGCCCTGGCGCTGGCGGCGGCCGTGCCAGCGGTGCTCCAGCGCGGATTGGTCCAGATTCTCCACGCCTCCGGGCGCCTTTCTCGCCTCGACCCACTCAGTCTCGTGCGCTGTCACGAGCAGAGCGGTGCTGATGACCCAAAGGATGGCTGAGATCAGGCACAAATTCGCGGCCGCGTAAAGGCTCCCGGCTCCTCGCGCCATCGCAATGCAAGACCGCACGCACGGGGGCTGAAGATCTGGGCACGCAGCGCGGCTGTAGACGTGTCAGAGTCTTCGAGTCTTCGACGCGTGAACAACAGTGTTGGGTCCGGGGTTGTGTTTTGTGTGAACAACAGTGGCCTGTCTGACTGTCACTGTGCGATTTCGGGCCCGCGGTTGTGCTTTTACGTGAACAACAGTCAATACCGGGAGCTTTCGTTTAAAAGAGGAGTCCAGCCCCGTGCGTAGTGTTAAATAAATAAATAAAACGGGCACGCCAAACGAGGGGTGGGCGAAGCACAGATAACGCAAGCCATCAGCGAATTCTTCCGCGCCCTTGGGGTGCTTGGGACAGGCGGTGCGCGCTCCCATATTGCAATGTCGTCGCGCTCCCACATTCACTACGGCTCGCTGGCGGAGGTCGAGCGGGACCGCTTGGCGAAGCTCGAGGCAGAGACCAAGCAGAAGCTGGAGAGCCTGCGCGCTGCAACCAAGGGTGGCGCGCCGGCCGCGAGCGCGCCGGCGGCGCCCGAGCCTGAGACGATCGAGCTGTCCGGCTCGTCGCAGCAGGCCATCGCGCGGCAGCAGGAGTTGAAGGACACGCTGGCGAAGCGGAAGCGCGCGCGTGAGGTGCCTCGAGCCCGCAAGCCACCCGCCCCTCTCCCTCGCCCCTCACCGTCCTATCCACCCCCGCCCACGCCTCTCGCCGCCCCGCAGCTCGCCGTGCCGACCAACGACAACCAAGTCAAGCTGCAGCTGCGCGACGCGGGCGAGCCGATCTGCCTCTTTGGGGAGGGGGCGCCGGAGCGGCGCGAGCGGCCGCCGCGTGGCGTGGCGGCGGCATGGGCGCTTGCTTGACCCTTCGCGGAGCCCTCCCGCAGGCGCGAGCGGCTGCGCGACGTGTTGGCGGCCGCCATCGACCTCGGCGAGCCCGGCGACGAGCTGCGCGGCGCGCAGACGATGCTGGACGGGCCGAGCAAGGCGGCGGCGCTGTCGCACGAGGCTGCGCGGCCGGCGGAGTGGCAGGCGGAGAAGCAGAAGGAGGAGTTCTACACGGAGGGGTCGCAGGCGCTGCGCGCGGCGCGCATCTGGGTCTGCAAGGACTCGATGCGCCGGGCGGCGGCGCGCCTCGCGGACGAGCGCGCCGCCGTCGAGGCTCGCTGTGCGGACGTGACGGGCTTTGAGCGCGACAACGCGCTGCTCGCCTCCAAGCTGAGCGGCGTGCAGAACCAGCTCTCCAACTTCGGCGACGAGCGGCCCGTCTCGTACTGCGCCTTCGCCCCGGGCGGCGGCACCTGCGCCACCGGCTCGTGGTCGTCGGTGATCAAGCTGTGGTCCGTGCCGGACTGCACGCAGGTGGCGACGCTGCGGGGCCACACCGAGCGCATCTCGGGCCTCGCGTGGCACCCGCAGGCGGACAAGCGCTCCTCGGGCGAGGCGGCGCTCGTGTCGGCCGGCTGCGACTCGCTCGCCAAGCTGTGGAGCTCCTCTGGCCAGGAGCTGGGCGAGCTGCGCGGCCACGCCTCCCGCCTCTCGCGCGTCGCCTTCCACCCGTCGGGCCGCTTCATCGGCACGGCCTCCTTCGACACGACGTGGCGGCTGTGGGACGCCGAGCGGCGGGAGACGCTCCTGCTGCAGGAGGGGCACACCCGCCCCCTCTACGCCATCGCCTTCCACCCGGACGGGTCTCTGGTCGCGACTGCCGGGCTGGACGCGCTCCTCCGAGTCTGGGACCTGCGGACCGGCAAGTGCGTGCAGCTGCTGCACGGGCACGTCAAGCAGGTGCTCGGGCTCGACTTTGCGCCCACCGGCACCAGCCTCGCCTCCGGCTCCGACGACCACACCGTCCGGCTCTGGGACCTGCGCAAGAAGCGATGCGCCTACACGATCCCCGCCCACTCGGCGCTCATCTCGCACGTGCGCTATGCGCCGGGGCACGGCAAGTTCCTGATGTCGACCTCGTACGACAACAAGGCGCCCCTCTCCCCTCCCCTGCCCTGCCCCTCTCCCCTCCCCTCTTCTCGCCCCCTCGAGCCGCGGCACCACAACCCTCGAGCTGCACCACCGCCCTCCCTCCTCCCTCCTCCCTCCTCCACCAGGTCAAGCTGTGGAGCACCAAGAGTAGCGCGACTCCGGAGCTGATCAAGACGATGGAGGGGCACGAGGGGCGGGTCATGTGCGGCGACATCTCCGACGACGGAAAGCACTTTGCAACCGCGGCTATGGACCACACGTGGAAGCTCTGGGGCACGGGGTAAGAGGCGGCGGTGGCGCCCCCCCCCCCCCCCGTGTCGTACGCCGCGCCCTACGCGCGCGGCAAACAGGCTGGCTCCCCTCGCACTAACGTCGGGCATTGCCGCGCTAGAGCCACGGCGCCATACGCTCTGAGCCCACACCCCCGAACACGCGCATCGAGAAAAACGCGAAATCGCCGAACGAAATGGCGGGAAAAAAGCCGTGCCCAAGAGATGCCAATATGTAACGAAAAAGAGCGTTCATCGTATATCTCACGCGCTATGTCGCACATGCAATGGGTCGGGTGTCATGGATTCGATTATCGATACTTTACACTGTCTGCGTGGGTGTAATGTGTAAACTGCAGCACGTCTCGAAACCCGCTATCTCTCTCACCACCAACACCAGCGCGATGCATCACTTATAAACCTCACGACGCCCGAGCAGCGAAGGCATGCTGACGGCGTGCACGCCTGAATTATCCCCTTCGACGAAGCCGAGGTGGACGCCGAGCGTGGCTCTGCGGAGGGCCGCCCCTGCGCGGCACGCACTCGCCGGCGCCTCAAAGACGTGATGCTTCACTAGCAGGTCGCGAGAGGGCGCTGAGTACGTGTGGATTGCGAGCCCGTAGCAGGCGGCCGCCGCCCACAGCCAGCCACAGTCACAGCCCTCTTGGGGCCGGTGGCGGTGGCGGCGCGCCCAGCTCTCAAAGTCCGCCTTCCACGGCCCTTGTTTCCCTCGCAGAAAGTAGCTGCGACATGATGCCGCTGCGATGACCTGGCCGAGCGTCGCCTCGGATGGGTCGCTCGGGTCCCACGGCGCGTGCATGCACCGCTCTGCGAAGGATATAACGCGGAGGCGCATCTCGTCGGCGGCGGCGTCGCTCGGCCCGCGGCGTGTCTTGCGCTGCCCCGCCCTCTCGAGCTGCAGCAGGATTGAAGCAGGCACGCACCTGCCCCTGGCCGGAGTTCCAATCGCCTCAGATGGGCACTCCACCTTTCGAGGCGGTAGAAGGAGGGCCGCCATGGTGGAGAGCCGCTGCTGCGAGCCGACGCTGTGCTCGAGGCACCATGCCTGATCCGGATCCCCTAGCCGGAGGCCCTGAGCCGGGTGAGGCGCCGAGAATGGCAAGCCGCTGATCATGTGTCGCACTCGTGCGGGCTTAACGCTGGCGACGCTGGCAGAAGGGGCTCTGGCGACGCTGGTAGAAGGGGCTCTGGCGACGCTGGTAGAAGGAGCTCTGGCGACGCTGGCGACCCCGAGAGGAATGAGGATGGCTGCCATATGTGTGACAAAATGAAGAACGATTCGACGCGCTTCGTCATTGGATTTGTATCCGTATTTTCTTTTTCAAGCGGCCCAGGGGAGGGATCGCGGTATATTAAAGCGCGAACCCGGCATGTATTTTATTTTTGCTTGGGCGGCCAGCATGCCGGGGTAGGTAGGGTAGGTCTGGGCCCTCTGGGTTTTTCCCTCTCTTCACGCCGGAATTCACAGCAAAAAAGACAATTTCCGCCGAAATCACGATGTCAACCCTCCCCAAGTGGGTCATCTGGTGCTTGTAGGGCTTGAGAGTGGCCTGTCATGTCTCAGGAAGGACTGTGGTTGCAGGAGAGTACCACCAACCATCACTCTAGTTGGTATAGTACCCCACCTTCACCAGTCCCGTGATTTCTTTTTTAGTTTCCCATAAGGGTAGGTAGGTAGGTAGGTAGGTAGGGGCACCGCAGGGGCCGGTCGGGGTTTTGCAGAATTTCAGCATGCTGGCCGCCCGAGCAAAAATAAAATACACCTGAACCCCGCTATATATCGTCCGGTATTGTGCCGGTCCGGGTTGGTACATATCGGTCGGGGCGCCACATACACACAAATCAGACAAAACAGGCCGAGCGGCTCGCCGCGCTACACGACCGACCAGATGGTAGAGCGCGCCGCCACCATCGCCCACTCGCCCGACGGCTTCCTGGCCCTCTGGAAAGAACTGGCGCTCTCCCCGTCCCGCCTACCCCACTGGAGCAGGGCGACGCTGCCGGCTCGCCGGGCCCCTCGCAGCCTTCCATGGAACAGATGGTCAAGAGGGCCCACTACTACGCGAACCGGGGCGAGTTGGGCAAGGCGTGGCGGCCTTCTCGCCCTCCGCGCCCGCCGACGGCCGCGACCCCAAGGTTGTCGCCAACTACCTCGGCAAGACGCCGCAAGCGCGGGCCCCGCCTGCCAGTGTCACCGCCGACGAACCGGGCGCCCCGCGGTATGAGCTGAAGTGGAAGTTCTTCAACAAGTTCGCAAAGTCTTTGCCTCGCGCTCGCAAGGGCGGCCCGACCCAAGTCGACTACGAGCTCATCCGCATCATCACCGAGTCGACCGACGGGGCGGACTGCCTCTTCAACTTCTGCACCTCCGTTGGCTGGGGTGTCATGCACGAGCGTCTCAAGCGGCTTGAGGACGACCTCAACGCCGTCTGCCTCTGGAAGGACGATGGCGTCAGCTGCAGGCCCCTCGGGCTCTGCAGCATCTTCACGCCTGCTTCACGCGCTCAGCCGAACGGTGCATCGCGCTCCAGGAGCGCGACTGGGCGGAGCAGTTCTGCACCACGCAGCTGCCTGAGGTTGCCAAGGCCAGGGCGGAGGCACTCGAGGACGCCACCGTCACCACCGCCACCGCAGAAGCCGCGTACACTTCGAGGTGCATGCCATCACGCACGGACACGGCTCGGCCGAGGCGACGGCCGCTTCTCGCCGACCTCGAGGCGGCCGAGGCTGCGGAGGAGCGCGCCCGTGCGCCTGTCAACTTCCCGAAGAACTACGCGTTCTCCAAGAACGGCACTCACCTGTACGCCCCGCGGGGTGGCACGGCACGAAGCCGGAGAACGCGACCATCTCGGGCGACAAGGAGAACTTCTACAACACGATCGCCCAGGCGCTCACGGCCGACAACAAGCCTGACCCCAACGGCTGTGGGCGCGTCAAGCTCCTCTCGACTGGATCCGCAAGCGACGCCCTGACCTCCTACCAGTCGCTCGCCTCATCATGGGCACGCCCAGCTTCATCCGCCTTGTCAAGGCCGAGGGCGCCTTGCGGCTGCCTTCCGCCGACGGCGGTGACCTGGACTTCTCCGCCGCCGATTGGGGCCCACTCAGCCTCGAGTGCCCCGACTACAACGACCCCAACTACGCCAAGTCCGCCTGCGGGGTCATCCCAGGGACGTGCGCTGTCCACCATCCTCAGCGTCTGCTTCCTCCACGACATCTGCCACGCAGTCGCGACAACCCGACCATGCGCCTCATCGGTTTTGCGGACGACATCTGCCAGAACGACGAGCCCTCGCGCGCCGTCGCCGCCTACTCCGGACCAAAGGGCCTCCTCGAGGCGCAGAAGAAGGGAGCGAGCGTCTTCGACGGCGTCAGCAAGTCGCTCATCTACTCGCCCGAGGGCGACCTCTCGTGCGCGCCGGGCTGGCTCCGGGGCTCGCCGGCGCACTGCGACAAGGAGGGCAAACCCACGGGGCGAGTGGACTGCTTCAAGGCCGTCGGCACCTTCTTTGGCGACCCTGAAGCCTGCAAAAAGGAGCTCACCGCGCACCTCAGGAAGAAGCTCGCGCCGCTCGACGCCATCGACACGATCGTCGACACTGACTGCGTCACGAACACCTCGCAGCTCCGCCTCAACCTCGTCCAACGGATTGCCTGTGCAAAGACCAAGTACATTGCCGGCATCACGCCGCCCAATGTCGCGTGCGAGGCTCTCGAGTTTGCGCACAACCGCATCCGCAAGTCCTTTGAGGGCATTGCTCGCGCCGACGCCTCGCCCCAGGCGCTCCGCGACCTCGCCTCCTCGCGTGCTGGCTCCAGGCACAGCTGCCGACCGAGATGGGCGGGTGCAACATCGACACCGCCTTCTCCATGTCGCTCCTCAAGAACTGGCGCACCCTCGTCGCCCACAACCCCGACTTCGCCCTCGACGAGGGAGGTGCGTCCAAGTACCCCGCCATCGCCGCAGCTATCGCCACCTACCGAGTCCGCCCTCTCGGACTGGAAGGAGGTGTGCGAGAAGCGCACCGCCCGCGACAAAAACAAGTACTACACCGTCCGCGGCGGCTACCTGACTGAGTTCTACCCCAAGAGCGTCCCGCTCCCCGAGCCCGAGTCCCTTCCAGCTACCGACGCGATTCTCAATGGCACATGGCACTTGCAAATCCACGTACCCGCGGCCGCGGGCGCTCGCTGCCATCAAGAATCACAAGGACTGGTTCGCGCACCTGGAGCTCGTCAAGGCGCGGGATGTGCACGTCAAGAACAACCCGTCCCTCGGAGACAGCGCCGTCAACAACCGCGAAGCCGCGCGCTTCGTCTCCGCCTCAACGCCTTTCGCCGGCAAGGCCTTCAATGTCCGTGTCGACGGTACGTACGCCACCGCCCTCTCCTCCGACACCCTCCAGGACGAGCTCCAGCGGAAGCTCGGCCTTTGGCTCTCCGCGGCGCTTCCCACCCTTCGGGTCGCGCTCGAGCGGGGCATGCCAGTCGATTTCTTCGGCGACTACCTTTACAACAAGGCCCACCACCGGCCGCCCCACGACGGCGTCCTCGCCGCCTGGGCGGACGCGATGCGCGCCCCGGCCAACGCGCCGGTCGTGCACGGCGACAAGGAGAAACCAGAGCTCACCCGGCAGTACAACGAGGGGTACAAGACTGACCTCGCAGAACCCCATGCGGGGCCGGGAGGGTGCGATGAGGTGAATGAAATCAAGCTCTGGACGCCCCTCCTCAAGACCTCCTCGACGGGCGTTGGCAACGCCTCGAGTGGCGGCACGCCCGCCTCCGTTGGCCACTCCTACGCCTTTGGCAACACCGAAGAGAAGGCCCGCCGCCTAAACATGGGCTGCAAGGCGCGCGGGCAGCCCGGCCAACCCTTCTCCCACAAGACCGGCCACGGCTACGTCAAGGCGCATCGCGGTTTCATACCACGACGCGATCTTTGTCAAGCGCAACAACTTCAACCTGCTGCTCCACGAGACGTTCGGCGGCGGCTTCTCGCCCACCGCCGTTCTCAAGCTGCGCCGCCTTGCGCGCGGCAGCGTTGACCGCACGGCCTACTCGCCCAAGTACTCGCTCTCTTTTATGTCCCACCATGCAGAGCGCATCTCTCTCTCTCTCTTGTGCGAGGCGTGAACCGCGCCATTCGCTCTCACCTGGCAACCCTGTCTGCACGTCTCGCGCGCGCGTGAACAGGGCTCCAGGCCCCAAATGACGTGTGAGTGTTAGAGTTGTTTGGTATTGGGACCTTACCGCCTGTAACCTCTCTTTAAGGTATTGCTAAAAATCTCTCACTGCGAAGAGAGCTAGGAAGGGGCAGACGCCCGAGGGTGGGCGACGGCTAGCACCACCACACTCCTCTCCTTAAAATCCCTGTGTGGTGGCGGCGACCGGCGTGCCGTCCTCCCATCCCTCCCTTGATTTGTCTGTTTTCTTTCTTAGCCCCCCGCTACCCGGTTGCACTCGTGCGACGTAGCGGGGGGCCACGACTACGTTTACGAAAACATAAGTAGTCCCGCGAGGTGTGAATTTGGCCGCCCCAGTAGCCCCCTTTCCAACCGGATAACCTTTTCGTAACCCAAAGTTGCGCTGCGCGCGAAGCCGCCTTTTGAAAGCGCGAAACGAATCTCGTCCTATCTCCCGCACTCCCGGCCCACGCGCCCCACCGGCTTTCGTCGCCCAAGCTCGGTCTCGACTTGGGTGCTGCTCGACTGGCCGATGAAGAGCGACCCGTACACGCGCACTTGTCGTCCTACCTCCTCGCCACATGACGGCCGCCCTCCGACACCGACAGTCGCGCTCCGCACGCCTTCGAGGTCAGCTCTCAGCTGCGGCCGAGCGACGATCGGCTCGCTCCGATCGCTGGGCGCGGTCACTCTCCGGCCCATCACCCGCCTGCCGATCACCTGTCCGCCTCGCCGCGCGCGGGCCGCTCGCCTGCTCGCCACCGCCGCCGCGCGTCCCCGCGCCGCCACGCTTCCCTGTGCACCTGACGGCGCTGCGCAGACGGCGCGCTCTGGCGGACAGAGCAGCGGCCGCCCAGGCGGTCGCTGCTCCGCCCCGTCCGAATCCGTCCGCCCGCGCGTGCCGTTGCCGCCGCCGCCGCCGCCACCGCCGCCGCGTTTCCCCGCACCGCCACGCGTCCCCGCACCTGACTGCGCTCGAGCTGCGCAGGCAGACGGCGCGCTCTGGCAGACAGAGCAGCGGCCGCCCAGGCGGTCGCTGCTCCGCCCCGTCCGAATCCGTCCGCCCGCGCGTGCTGCTGCCGCCGCCGCCGCCGCTCCACCCGGTGCCCGTGTGTCGTGAGAGTTGCTTTGTGTATGTGTATGTCGTATGTGTGTGGACTTATGTCACACTTGAGCCTCTGTCTATGATAGTAGACCGGCCGGTACTCGGGTTTGGATGGTAGCGGGGGGCCCCGCCGGAGGCTGGTTACTGATTCTTTACACACAACACACACACACACACACACACACACACATGCATGCACAGACACACAGCCCCTTACTCTTGCCGCCCTCAAGACCTCAAGGACGAGGACACACACACAGGACGCACCTCTAGGGATCCCTAGCGAGGCCCGCAAGCCGCATAGTATGTGGGAGACTCGTGCCGCCGCCCCCTGTCACCCCTGTCATCTAGTGAGGCCCGCATAGTAATGTGGGTGACTGTCTCCTGCCGCCGCCCCTGCCACCCCTGTCAGTGTGCCTGTGGTAGCGAGAGACTGCCAGTGAGAAGCTGGAGGCAGGTCGCTAGACTGAGATGAGGCCGCCAGTGGAGTTGGGAGTCCACCGTGCACCGCGCTGCGAGCCTGTCGCTGTCCCTTGTCAGGGGAGCAGGAGAGCCCACCTGTGCCCCTGATTTTGTCGCCTTCGTCCAAACTCCTGCTCGTGCAGGTGGCGAGGTGGGGACCCCTGTGTCCTCCTCCCCCATCCCTCGTTTGGGTGGTATGTTTTCTTTCTTCCTTTACTCCTTTGAGCTTTGTGATCGTCCTTGGAACCGCTTGCTCCTTCCAAAATCCTGCTCGTGCAGGCGGGGACCCTGATCCGCTGATCCCTGTCCTCCTCCCATCCCTCGTTTGGCATCCGCATTTGGGATTGGTCATTGGATTCGGTCGGGTTTCTTTCTTTCTTTCGCGTTTCGGTTTCGCCGTTTTCTCGGGCGCGTGTGTTGGAGGTCTGTTTTTCCTAATATTTTCTTTATTCTTTCTTTTACCGGACCAGGGTGACGGTCGGCTATGGCCATGTACGCCGCAGCAGGGCTACCAAAACAGCAACGCAACCACATTCACACACGATCCACGAGATCCACTCTAATTACACCTCTCGGGTCACTGTCCCAACGATACGGCGGGGACATCACGCCATCCCCAACTCGGCGAGCAGCCGCTCGACCTGCACGTGCAGCGCGCCGGCGGGCTCGATGCCAAGCGACGCGTTCGCCTCGGCGATGGCGGCGCCGATGCCGAGCTTCTGCTCGAGGCCTAGCTGGTTGCGGATCTTCTCCACTTTCTGCACCATGGTGAGCTGCCCGTCGGCCGGCGTCGCGGCCAGCCCGCCGCCCGCGCCGCCCGCCGCGACGGCGGTGGCGCCGCCGCCGGCGCCGGGCAAGCCCGCCAGGCCGCTGCCGGCGGCGGGGTGCGCCTCGGAAGCGTACACCTCGAAGCCCTGCAGCTTGAGCACCTCGTCGTACAGCGCGGACACGGCCGCCTCCCACTCGCGGCTCGCCTCCTCCACGGACAAGTCGAAGAAGGGGCGCGAGCCGAGTACCATCCCGACCCCGCCCCGCCAGCTGCGCGTGTCGCGCACCTGCCGCCGCGGCGCAACAGCGGCAGGGAGGTGGCGTGAGAGGCGAGTGGCGAGGCGGCGCCCGCGAGGCTGGCCCGGGGCTGCAGAGCGCGGGGCTGATGAGCGCACCGCGGGCTCCACCACCACCGAGAGGAGCCGGTCGGCGCCCTTGGTCCGCTCCTACAGAGGCAACTAGCCCGCCGTCCGCCCTACCGCCGAGCCGGCCAGTGCGGCCCCCGCAGCGGCGGCACCGCATACTCAAACTCCTTCTTGCAGTGGTCTTGCGGGCCGGCGCGGCCGGCGACGCGCTCAATGTAGTTTTGAGACACAAAGACGACGATCACGTCCGAGTCGTCGATGCCGGAGCACATCTTAGCGACTACGTTGCCCTGCATCCGCTCGTCGTCAAAGCAGACGCGCAGGCCTGGCCGGGGCGGGGCGAGGAGAGTCGGGGCGAGGAGAGTCGGGGCCGAGGGGGAGGGGGAGGGGGGGAAGGGACGCGGCCGAGGCGCGGGCGAGCGGCACCGCGGCCTCGCAGCGCGCGCGTGATGGCGGCGACTCGCTCTTGGGCACGGCGCCCCTCTCCGTCGGTGCCCCAGTCGTGTGTGAGGAAGACGTCGTGCCGCTGCTCGACCTGTTGGAGCGGGTCGATGGGGGTGGGTCGATGGGGGTGGGTCGATGGGGGTGGGTCGATGGGGGTGGGTCGATGGGGGTGGGTCGATGGGGGTGGGTCGATGGGGGTGGGTCGAGGGGGCAGGTGGGTGGAGGGGCAGGGGAGGGGGGCCGGTGCGGAGGGGCTGCAGCTGCGCCTGCTGCGACGAGATTGAGACGACCGACGCCTGCGGCCTCGCCTCCTCCACCACCATGATCGCCTCCTCCGCCTGCGCCTTTGGAAGCGGCAGCGGCTCGTTCGCAACCCGCTCCGCCGCCGCGCGCGCCGAGGCGTCCGCTTGGATGTGGAGGTCCGCCGCATCGAGCCAGACCTGCGCGAGCGAGGGGAGGCTTGGAGGACGGGAGGACGGGAGGACGGGAGGACGGGAGGACGGGAGGACGGGAGGGGGGGGGGGAGGGGGGGGGAGGGGGGGGGAGGGGGGGGGAGGGGGGTGGAGGGGGGGGGGGTGGAGGGGGGGGGAGGGGGGGGGCCCCTTCTCGGACGAGTTCCAGATGGCCCAGGTGCCCGCGATCTGCTCGGGCACGTGGGCGAGCGAGCGGACTTGCACCCAGCCCTGCCCGAGCCCGCGCTCGACGCTCTTGCCGATGTACCAGTAGGGCGTGAGGAACCACATCATCCGCGACGGGTTGCCGAGCTGGTGGTAGCACGGCCTGTCGTTGACCGTCTCGTCGGCCAGCATGTACGTGCCGAGCTTGTCCTGGTGCCTGTGGGGCGTACAGGCCGGGGTTGGAGTCGGAGTCGGTGTCGGAGCTGGAGCTGGTCTCTGCGCCTGTCCTCCGGCGTCGGCCCCTTGAGGACGAGGCGCGGCATCAGGTACTCGCTGCATCGCACCCGCTCCGCCACGTGCCACCGCGTGCCGTCCCCAACCTCCCACGCCGAGCGAGTCGCCTCGGGGATGCGCGCCGCATCGCGGCAGCGCCAGTAACCCGCCTGCGGCCCGGGGACGGGCGGCAGGGTCGGAGTCGCAGGGTCGGAGTCGCCCATCGGGGCGCAGCCCTCGCCGCCCTGCGCGCCTGCTTCGCGAGGCTCGCCGGAGGGCCCACCCACCACGCGCCGCCGGCGTGCCAGAGCATCGTGTCCTCCTCCCTCTTCTTGTAGATGCAGTAGCCGTTCGCCTCCTGCCCCTTGAGCCGGATGAACTCGCCTGCGGACAGGCGGCGGGGCGGATCGCGAGGGCGGCGGACGCGTCGCGAGGGCGGCGGCGGGGAGCGAGCGAGCGGCGGCGGCGGCGGGGGAGGGCGATGGACGGGTTGAGGCGGCGGAGGCAGGCAGGCGGGCGGGCGGGCAGGCAGGCAGGCGGGCAGGCGGGCGGGCGGGCAGGCGGGCAGGCGGGCAGGGGGGGGAGGAGCGCCGAGCTTGTCTGCGTGCAGCGAGCACGAGGGCGGCATCGGCCCGGAGACCGAGACTTGGATGTTGCCCACCGCAGTGACGCGCACGCCCTCGGACGCCATCCACCGCTTCTCGGACTGGTTCCAGATCTGCCACACGCCGCAGATCTCCTCGGGCAGCGAGGACGAGTCGCGCACCTGCATCCAGCCCGCCTGCTTGCCGAGCTCGTCGCGCTTGCCGACGTACCAGTAGCCGTTGGCGGCCCAGACCATGTGCGAGACGGACGGGTCCTGCAGAGGGGCGGGGCGGGGTGTGGGCCGAGGGGCGGCGGCGGCGGCGGGGGGGGGTGGGGGGGGGGGGGGGCGCCTTTTCGTACACGAGCTTGCCGTTCACCTCCTGCGCGGCGATCATCTTGAACTCGCCCATCTTGTCCTTGTGCAGGTGGCCGACCGGCTCGCCGAGCACCTGCAGACAAGGGGAAGAGGACTCAGAAGACTGGGGATTGATGACGTACTCGCCATCCCCCTCCTCCCAGCCCTCGGCGCGCGCCTCAATGCAGCGCGCACCGATCGCGGCGCACTTGACGTGCGGCGCGTCGTGCAGCGCCTCGCCGTCGCCGACGCGCCAGATAGACTGCGTCAGCTCGGGCGCAGGCGCCGGGTCGCGCACGCACAGCCACCCCTGCGACTTGCCGAGCTCGTCCTTGCGGCCGAGGTACCAGTAGCCGACAGAGTACCAGAGCATCCGGTTCTCGTTGCCGACCTGCGAGTAGACTGGGCGGTGGTTCACCTCGCGGCCGACCTGCCGCACGAACTCGCCGAGCTTGTCCGAGTTGAGTTGCGACGGCGTCTCGCCCGCCACCATCACCGTCATCGCCCCCACCGGCATGCAAGCAACCTCCTCCGCGTCGACCATCTGCTGGCCGTCAGAGACGCGCCACGTCGCCTTGCACAGCTCCGGGCAGGAGGAGTCGTCCTTGCAGCAGAGCCAGCCTGCGGGAGGCGGCGAGGCACTGTGCGGCACTGTGCGAGGGCGCACCCTCCCGCCCCTCGCGCCGCCCGCGCACCCTGCGGCTTGCCGACGTCCTGCGGCTGGCCAATGTACCAGTACTTGTTGCAGTACCACATCGACCGCTCCGACGTCTCGACCGCCTCGTACACCGCGCGCCTGCTCGCAAGCCGGGCGGCGTCTCGGCTGCCTCTCGGCGACGCCTCGGCCGCCCCGTGCATCCCGCGCCCATTCTCGAACCGGAATCCGCGCCGCACAAACTCGCCAAGCTTGTCCGCCTACCGCAAGACTTGCGAGGTCTCGGGGCGGACCACCAGGGCTGCACACACCCCGCCGAGCTTGCGCGCGCGTTGATGCCGCGCGGCGTGTTGCCCGTGAAGGCTACGCGCCTGCGGTGGCGGGGGGGGGGGGGGGGGGGGCACGGCTCCAGCAGTTCGCGCGGGGAGGGCGGCTCTTGTCTGGCCACACACTTGGAGCCGACACTCATCGCTTGCAGCTCGAGCGCCTTCTCCCACTTGCGGTTCGCGCCGTCCCAAACCTGCCCGCGACATGGGGCGGCGTCACCCGCGGTGCCGAGGGCCGCGCCGAGGGCCGGCTGCGCCTCCCGCGCCTGCCAGTTGGTGATGCCCTCGGGAGAGATTGCCTTTGAGACAGCCTGGTACCAGCCGCGGTTCTGGCCGAGCTCGTCGCGCTTGCCGATGTTCCACGTCCCTCCGGGCGCGTACCACATCATGACGTTCTGCATCCCGACCATCTCGTACACGCCACGCTCCGTCACCACGCGCTGCTGCACGCGCCGGTACTCGCCGAGCTTGTCTTGCAGCAGCTGGTTCGGAGTCGGCCCGTGGATGTACACGCCGGGCGTTGCAGAGACGGCGACGCACTGCACCTCGCGCCCCTCCTTCCACAACTTCTCCGCCGCGACCCACACGCCCCACGTCCCTGTAATCTCGGCCGGCGTCGGCGCGTCCGACTTGACCTGCAGCCAGCCGCGAGGCTGACCAAACTCCTCGCGCTTGCCCACGTACCACGTTGGCCCGTCCGAGGCTGGCGCAAACCAGAGCATGTGGTTGGTGTTGTTGTCCTTGAAGTACGCCGGCCGCCCATTCATCGTCCCGCCCGTCCGGATATCTGGGAGCGCGGCGGGGCAGCGGGCAAAGGACGTCAGCGCTGATGCTTAAGAGCGGACGTGGCAGGGGGAGGCACGCACATTCGCCGAGCTTATCCTGATGGATCTGCACTCCGTTCACCTCGGGCGTCTCGCCGGCGATCAGAATGCCGCGCACGTCTTCAATCATGGGAGTGGCCGAGCCACACAAGCGGCTGCGCCCTCAGGCTGTTTCTCGATCGGCGCGGCCCCCCCAGGCACGAAAAGATACAGCCTTGCGGACTACTCGCAGAGTGTGGGTAAACGAAAGTACCGTATTCGGTACTATCAAGAAAGACACCGAAAAAAGTCGCCGCCGGAGTCCACGACGAGCCAGCCAGCTGCCGGCTCGCACGGCAGCCTCTTCCTATGGACCAGCCTCGACTTCCATACAGTCAACATTTTGTCGCTGCGTGCTCGTGGTGAGCTGTGGCGGCGGTCGAAGTTCGCCCAGATTCGGTGACGAGCGCCGGACGATAGTACCGCCTCTGTTCGCCCTGTGCATGTCAGGCCAGGCTGCAGCAGGGCACTACCAACGTGCTGCCCTGTTGCAGCCTGACTTTGCCCACTGTGCACAGTCGCCAGAGCACCACCACCGCCCGGCATCGTGTCACGGCGAGCTCCTTCTGCGCCCGCTCGCGAGGCTCTCGCGCTGGTACACTTTGGCCATCTGCTGCTCGCGTTCAGCGAGCTCTTCTCCGCACTCCTGCCACGGTGCCGTCACCACACACCTTCTGGCTGGCCTGAGCCGCGCGGGGTCGCCGGCGGGGGCAACGCGTCGACCTCCCTCTCTGGTGCACCACGGGCCGCAACGGCCTGCGAGCAGCGTGCGCGAGGAGGCAGTGTGCCGGCACAGTCGAGCCGGAGCATCGGGTTCTTGATGCTTCTGGGGTCAAGTTTGACCTTATGTGGTATAATATGCAACAATAATGCTATGCTCTCACCCAGCCTTTTGAGATATGATCCCTCAAAGTCGAATTTTCGTTTACTGGTGACCATAGTACCGTTTGTCTTGTTTGCGTTTCTTCAAACGAATCCTTTAAAGTCTCGACAATCACTCAGCTGCTTATGTGGCACCGCAGAGGCTCCCTTGGGGATGCCTGAGGCCACCCCAACCACACACTAAGCCGTACGTAGACGAATTCCGCGCTACTTTTTTCGTTTACCCACATTATGCGAGTAGGAGTTAGATACACACGGGGGGGTGTTTGGACACACAGGATACACGTGAATCCACACTCAGTCTGGATACACAGTGGATACACAGTGAGATACACAGCCTCCGGTTTCGAAGACGAGCACGTTTTTTTTGCTGTGTCCGAAAGAGGTATTCGCCTGAGATCGCCGTCGCCGATGCCCTTCAACCCGAACCCGGATCGCGCGCGGCGCGGCGCAGGCGCGACGGCCCTTGTGCCTGCGCCGGCACCTGCGCCGGCGCCTGCCGCCACGGCCCTCGCCGCGGCGGCGCCGGCTGCAATTGTGATGGCTTAGGTTTGGTTCTCCCCTAGATAGGCATGAGCGAGCGAGAGCCGGAGAGGGCGCGTGTGTAGGCAGCTTCCGAGAGTTGAGATACACTAGATACACTGTGTATCCACCCAAGTTCTGGATACACTGGATACATATCTAACACCTAGGCTTGCAGACTGGCGCGCACACTGTGTGGTGGCGGCGTGCCGTCCTCCCATCCCTCCCTTGGGTTGTCTGTTTTCTTTCTTTCTTTCTTTTGGCGCGCACTGGCACTAACACGAAAGAATTCTCGGAATCAAACAAGGTCCGTTCAGCGGCGGCGCCTTCTCGCCGATCGCCATTCTCAAGCTCTATCTAGCTCAAGCTGCGCCGCCTGCGCGCAAATCCGCATCGCCCAACCAGGATCCAGTACTCGCTCTCGTTTCAACGCATCGCATCGCCTCCCCCCCCCCCCCCTCTCCGTCTCTTGAGCACAGAGCACTTGAGCACTGGATAGGGTCGATTCCGCGTGGAGGCCGTGGTACGGGACCCACCCCCCTCTCTCTCTCTCTCTTTTGCTAAATCTCTCTATCTCTCTGTGTTGTGCGAGGCGGTGAACCGCGCCATTCGCTCTCTCTCTCACTGCACACTGGCTTCCCTGTCCGTCCGTCCTCCGCCCGCGCACGCCTCGCGCGCGCGTGCGTGATCATGTGAGTACTTGAGCACTTTGAGCACCAGTTGAGCACTGGATAGGGTCGATTCCACATGGTACGGGACCCCTCGATCGTGAGTACTAGATTTGTCTGGTATTGCTAGAAGTCACACATACCCCCCCCCCACCCACACACACAAGAAGATAGAGTTGTTTGGTATTGCTAAAAATCTCTCTCTCACAAGAAGAGAGAGAGACAGCACCGAGCGAGTATTTGCCGCCGGCCGATTTCATTCAGACAGTCCCTCAGCGGCGTGCACCTCGATCCTGTACCGTGTTTGTTATGCCCCCCCCCAATGAGCACAACCAACCAGCGAGGGAGGGCGAGACGATCGAAAACAAAGACGAAACACACCAGTGAGGGAGGGCGAGACGATCGAGGGGTCCCGTACCATGCGGAACCGACCCTATCCAGTGCTCAAGTGCTCAAGACGAAACACAACTCTCGCCCCTCGCTCGATTTATTTCCGCCGGTTGCCGGAGGCGGACGACGCGGGACGGACGCTGATTTCGCATTTTCGCCCGACTGAACGGCAACGGCAAATTAATGAGGAAAGCATGGGCGGCTATGACAATTCCCATCAAAACGAATGAGTTTGCATTGGCAAATTTGCCAATTTTGAAATTTTCCGGAGCGTTTTCGCACAGTCTTGCAGATACGCGGACGGCCGATCGAGCATCTGCGCAGCGAGGAGCGTGGCGGGGGCGAGTTGGTGTCGAGCGAGCGGGGACTCGTGGAGCGCGCTGCGCGGAGCGCGGCGGCGATGGCGGGCGAGTACGTTGGAACGGTCGCCCAGGCTGAGGATGGCATGACGGACCGCTCGAGCGAAGCTGTCGCCGAGGAGCCAGACACTGCTGCTGAGGCCATGGCTAAGACCGCGGCGGAGCCGCCCGCCCCGGCCGAGGAGGTGAAGAGCACCAAGGCGCCTCGCTGGAACATCACGAAGCTCGCGCTGCACAAGCTCGAGCTCGTCTTCCTAAGCGAAAAGTTTCCCTCGGTCGAGACGAGGGAGGCTCTCGCCGCACAGCTGGCGGTCACGCCGAGGCAGGTGCAGGTGTGGTTCCAGAACAAGCGGCAGCGATCGCTCAGGGCCGCTGCGGCCGGCTTGCTGCCCGAGCCGAGCGTGGTCCATGCAACCCCCTTACTGCCCGGAAGCACCGTGCTGCCCTCACTGGGCAACGGCGCTGGTGCGGCTGCCGCCCACGTGGCTGCCGCCCAGGCTGCTGCGGCGACAGCGGCGGCACACGCCGCCGCGGCGACTGCCGCACAGAATGCCGCCTTTGGCGGCCAAGCCAGCCACAATCAGCACCAGCGACAGCACCAGCACCAACATCCGCACCAGCACCAGCACCAACACCATCAGTTCCACAGTCAGTGGGCGCAGGGTGGTGGCTATCCCTCGCTCACGCCCCAGTCGGCCGCGTTGCAGCTCACGCAGCAAGCATCGCAGCAGCAGGCCGCGTCACAAATGCAGCAGACGCCGCAGCCGCCGCTGACGTCGCAGATGCAGCAACCGTCGCCTCAGCCGCCGCAAGCGCCAACGCCATTGCCTGCCCATTCGCCCGCTGCGGTCGAGATGGCGCAGCATGGAGGGCTGGGTGGAGGCTGGGCCATGGCCGAGAGTAGTGGCGGCGACGGAGGCGGCGACGGTACTGGAAGCGCTGTCGCACCCGAACTCCGCGCCAACGCCAACTCCGTCCCCGCCTTGACCTATCACGGAGCGGACTACCACGGAGGCATGCCGCCCGAGTACCCTCCCGTGAGCCCTCATCCGCACGCTCACGCGCAGTGGATGGAGTACCCGACCGCCAGCGCCGGCCTCAGCGCCGAAGCGCACGGCCACACACGGACTGTGCCGCCCGGCATGGCGCTCACTTTGGACGGCAAGGCGCACGAGTACCCGATGCCCGACGACCTCAACTCACCCGGCCTCTCGGCCCAACTCTCCGCTGCCGAGATTGGGGAGCAGTGCCCCGGGGTCGGGACGTGGGACCAGGCCGCCGGTCCCGGGGGAGATCCGCGGCGGAAGCAGCGCTTCATCTGGAGCTCGCAGATGCACATGCGCTTTGAGGCGGCGGTGCATAAGCTTGGGGTCGACCAGGCGAAGCCGCAGGCCATCTCGCAGCTGATGGGCTGCGAGCGCGAGGGCGCTCCAACGACACAGAACATCAAGTCGCATTTGCAAAAATACCGGCTGCTGATGCAGAAGCGTCGGGCGGGGATCCCGGTCGGAGGTGGCATTTCATCGATGCCACCACTCACCCCCGAGAGCAGCTCCGACTCTGTCGTGGACCAAGATGAGCTGGCGAGTCTCAACAGCGGTAGCTCAGAGTGCGATGGCCACCCCTCCGAGACGCTGGTGCACAAGCCGCAGACAGAGCCCGCCGAGCCCGCGGCCAGTGTCCAGCCATCCTCCCCACACCTGCAGCGGGTCAGCAACCAGATTCGCCTGCAGCAGCATCAGCTGCAGATGCTCCGACAGCTGCACATGCAGCTGCAGTACCACAAGGAGCAACTGCCTCCCGGCTCGCCGGAAGAGGCTGCCGCCGCGCTGCAGATGACTGCCCAGGGGCAGCACGCGCTCTTGCAGAAGGCGCAGCGCGAGACGCGGGCAAAGAGGGAGCTACCCTCCGAGTACTCGTCCCCTATCGACGGGCAGAGCCTCGTGTCGCCCGGCCAACGCCGCATCTCCGCATCCGGAAGCCCGTCGGAGACAGCGGAGCATGAGGGCTGGCTGATGGACGAAATCATCAGCTCGCTTTTCAACGACGGCGAGCGCGGGCGCGAGTCTGAGACGAACGCGTCCCCCACGCCTACTCCGGAGGGGCGGTTCCCGATGGCGGCCGAGAACAGCGTCGAGCCTCCCGACGTCTTCAACAACACCGCGGAGCCTACGAGCCCCTCCCTGGCCAGGGAGGAACCGAGGGCGATGCAAGTGGACGACGCTCAAATGTTCGGCGTCGACCTCGCATCGCCGGCTGCGTCAAACGACCTCGCCTTTTGACTTCTGCTTCCTGTCGCCACCACCTCGCCATGCCCATCCTTGGCCTTGCTACGACTAACGCCTTCGACTTTGTGCTAATGCTACCCCTGTCCCTCTGCGCCCCTCAAACACATAGAGTACCATCCTGTGCAAAGTGACATCTGCTGCTAGTGTCTGCTCCCTACCCATTCGTCCCTGTGGCCTGTGTGTGACGCGCCCTGCCCGCCCCCGGCCCCTGCGCGTATACTATTGCGCGTTGTCTCTCTCAAACCCGCCCCCCCCCCCCCCCCCCACTCAAGTCGCATGACTCGTGCCTTGTGGTCCCCTCCTGATCACAAGAGTTTGCGTCCGTGACCCCTCCAGTGTAGAGCCGTATTCCGCATAGTAAAACTGTACTGGGTTCATCTCGGAAGAACGCGCGCGCACATGCGGCGGGGGCGCCTGCGCTCGCCTCCGGCGCGACACACCACAGACACAAACGCGCTCGAGACAACTCTCCGCGACGGTACACACATCTCTCGTAGCTCGACACATTTCGCGTGTGTCGCTCGCACGCCCGTCATCTCAAGATCACGCCGCTAGAGAAGGAAGGGGCTCCATGCCCCCTCGATCGCGCTCTCCCTCAGAAACGGAGTCTGCGAATCCCCGCAGTCGAGACGTGGAACGCCAGCCCCGGGTCCACCGTGTCGGCAGGCGAGAGCACGTCGACGACATCGGCGTTGCCATCCCAATGCTTCTTCCACTCCTGGAAGTGGAAAATGGCCGCCTGGTGGCACCCATGCGCATTCGGGCTCGGCAGCGCTAGCGCTGACGAGTCGATCCGACGGGAGTGGACCTTGCCGTCGCGCGCGTAGTACGCGATCGAGCTCCCGTCGGCCGGTGGATCTGCGGCGCAGAGCCTGCACTCTGGCGAGATCCAGTCGCCACAGCCCGTATCGCGCACCTCCACTGGACTCGCGCCGCCGACGGCCGGCTGTATCGACGGCAAATGCAGGTAGCAACGGCGCGCCACTCCGGCGGCGGCGAGCTCTTGCAAGAGCGACGCGTCCGGCTCGGTAGCAGCGGAGCAATGCCAGACGGCCCCTCCCGCCCAAACGGCCGATGCGGTCGATCGGATGTCGAGTCCGATCGCCTGCTTGGGGGCGATCTTGAAGCGCACGCCGGCAGCGAGGGCGACCTTCGAGTAGCAGCCTGCAGGCATCATCACGCCGGAGGTCAGAGTAGCTCCACGGCCGAAGCGAGCGGGCCCTCCGCGAGGCTCCCTCTGCAGAGACGAACCGCGTGTGCTGATGCGCGCCGCTCGAGCCGGCAGCCTCCGACCGCTCCAAGAAGGAGACCTTGTGCTGCAGCTCCGCCTACAGTCCCTCGCCCGCCGGGCCGTCGGGCGAGCGCTCTGCGGTGCAGCGCACAGCCGGCGATAGCGGCTGCGCCTCGAGGCCGGAGCCGAGGTTGGAGCACTGCCGCCAGAGGTCGTTGATCGAGTGGTCGTTGCGGTGAATCGTGAACTGGCCCCGCAGGTAGAGGCCCGACGCGTCGCCTGGCAAGTTGGGGGCGGGCTTCCTCACGCGTGGAACGCCGCCTCGCGGGGTGCGGCGCGGCGAGCCGCTCGCCGTACGAGAAGGTGACGATGTCTTGCTCGGCGAGCTCGCTCCGCTCGAGGAAGGTCGGCAGGCTCCCTGTGGGACGTGGCAGCGACGCGTCGTGTTGTGGATGTGGTGTGGACGTGTCGTGGACGTGGCGTGGGCGGTCCGCAGAAGGCTCGAGAGGGAGAGTTCGGCGCACCCACGACCATGTCGAGGTCGCAATATCCCCAATGCGAGTAGCCGAGCAGATAGTCCGAGAAGAAGCGACCGTACGCCGGCTTGTACTCTGCAATCAGCCGCGGCCACCTCTCGAAGAGCCGCTTGAGCGAGCGCAGCACGGCGGTCGCGTTGCGCAGCGGCAAGTGCAGCTCCTGCGCTGAGAGGGAGCGGCTCACGTCTCGAGAGGTCTCGAGGAGTCGGCGTCGAGTGGGAAGGGGGAGGGGAGGGGGGGAGGGGGGAGGGGGGGGGAGGGGAGGGGGGGAGAGGGGAGGAGGGGGGGGGGGAGGGGGGGAGGGGGGTCGCTCCTCCCCGAGCCGGAGGCCGACCAGCTCCGAGAGGCCGCCTAGGAGGGCGCAAGGCAGGCTCGAGGACTAGCGCTTGAGGACGGCACCCCGCTGCCCGCTCGCTCTCTCTGGCCGCTCGCTCTCGCTGGCCGCTCGCTCTCGCTGGCCGCGCCTGGGCCGACGTCGACCAGCTTGACGTTCGGAGGTCGCTCCCACGGCAGCCGCTGCCCCTCGTGGAAGAGGACGAAGTCGACGAGGGCCGAGCTCGTGCGCGCCGACGCCAGGAAGTAGGGCAGGAAGGCGGGCGGCGGGCCGAGCAGCGGCACAAGCACCGCCACGCGGTACTCCGGGTGGCGGGCGCCGCACTCGGGCAGGGGCGGGGGCGGCCTCCTCCTCGGCGGCGGCGGCGGCGGTTCGGCGCGCCGCACGGCGCCAGCGGCGGGCGCGCCTCCGCCCGCCTGGGCCGCGCGGGCGCCCCTCTGCTCCTCAGGCTTCGCCTTTGTCGGCTCCTTGCCAGCTGGCGGCTCCTTGCTAGCTGAGCCGGGCAGCTGCGCCGGCGAGCTAGCGCCGGTGCCGCTCGTTCTCGCGGAGGCTGCGCCCGACTCTGCCGGCTGCGCGTGCACGACCAGGTTGTCCTCGTGCATCAGGTCGGCGACCTACGTCCGGGCCAGGGTGGCTGGCGAGGGCGAGTGCGAGGCGGCTCCCCTCGGCGCCGCCACCGCGCACCGAGTGGATCCCGTCGCCAGACTCGTCCGTCACCTGCGCCACGGCCGCGATCTGCAGCCGCTCCTTGCAGCCGGCTAGGAAGATGGCCCAGTCCGCGGACCGCGGGAGCACCATCCGCGCCTTGCGGTCCGAGCCCGCCAGCGACAGGTGCAACGTGTGCGACCGAAGCGTGACGGCGTCGGCGGCTGGCGACGGAGGGCCTGCTGGCCGGCGCACAGAGGAGAGGCGGACGTACGAGGCGAGCGTGGCGATGGGGCCGAAGAGGATGGTGCACACGGCCAGCGCGATGAGCAGGCCCACGCGCGGCCGCGCCCTCTTGGGCTCTCGCACGCTCGGCCGCTTCTCCTTTCGTGAGTTTGTGCCGGAGCGCCGTGCACGCGGGTCCGGAGTGCCGCTCTCGAGATCGATGAGCTCCGAGAGCGAGGCGCTGACCAGTGCGCCGCCGAGAGGAGCGGAAGAGGGCGGTCGCCGCCGCGAGCGGTGCGTCTCGCTCGAGTTCTCGCTGTCAGAGTGGGCCGAGCAAGCGTGCACTGCTGCCAGCGCCAGCGCCTTCTTCCCCGACGTCCGACCGAGGCTCCGCGCCTTCCGCGGCTTGGGCGTGTGCGGCTCCAGCGAGCCGTCACCGGAGCGGCGCGACGAGAAGTCTGGGTCGCTCATAGAACGAGGCGCATAACACTCGCGGCGTCCATGTGTTTCGGGGCCGAAGCGACGGCGGGCACTGGTCTGCGGGTTTTCTTCTTTTGGGGGTATTTTTGCTGCATAGGGGAACCAATCAGCATTCTGTAAGTACACGACGGATGCACCGACGCCCGCCACACCCCGGCGAGTACCAGCAGGGGATGGCAGGTCTGTACATGCATGTAGGAAAAATGCTCGCTCTGCCAAGGCTCGCACCGCCGCGAGAGAACCGGCCGGCGCCGGCGATGACGAAAGCGAGGAGAACGACGAGAACGACGAGCGCGGGGAAACGGAGCCTGCCCCCGCTGCCGCTGCCGCGAAGGAGGAAGCCCTCGAGAGGAGCCTCGCCCGGCCAACGCCCCGGGGAGCGCTTGCGAAAACGGAGAGAGAAGCTGCTATAGCTCCGGCGGTGGCGGCGGCTCCGACGGCTGCTGCGGATGCTTCACCGGAGCTTGCACCGGCTCCCCCGCGAGCGGCGGCGGCGGCACGGCCTCGTGAGTAGCTCCTCCGTTGGGTGTCTGCAGGGGGCTGTCGACCAAACACTGCGGCACCGCCTGAGGCTGCGCAGCCGCCGGCATCGCCACCGCTCCAAGCTGTGCAGCCGCCGGTATGGCAATTCCTGGAAGCAGCGTAGCCGCCGGCATCGCCACCGGCTGAGGCTGCGCAGCCGCCGGTATCGCCACCAGCGGCGCGGGCTCACCCGACGGCGGATGCGATAGCGGCGGCTGCGCTGTCGTCGACGATTGATGCGTCGGCGTCGGCTCCGCCACCGGCTGCGCCGAAATAGCGCTGAACCTCTGCTGCTGTGCGTGCTGCAATTGCTGCAAGTGCTGTAACTGCGCAGAGAGAGAGCTCTGCTGCTGCTGCCGCTGCAACTGCTGCTGAGCCTGCGCAACAGCCTGAGCTTGACCCGTCTGCCAGAACTGCCAAGCGAGCGCGAGCTGCGTCTGCTGCGCGTGCTGCGCCTGCGCTTGCTGCGCCAATATCGCCTGGGCCTGAGCCTGCCGCTGCGCCATCAGCAGCTGTGCTGCTGCTTGTTGGTGTGCCGCCTGGGCTGCGGCCTGCTGCTGCGCCTATGGATGAGTTGTGGAGTTAGTCCGAGACGATGAACCATCAGAACTAGCCCCGCCCCACCTGCTGCGCCTGCGCCTGCGCCTGGCCCTGCTGCGTCAGCATCGCCTGCGCCTCCTGCGCCTCCTGCTCTGCCTGCGCCTCCTGCGCTGCCTGCGCCTGCTGCGCTGCCTGCGCCTGCTGCGCTGCCTGCGCCTGCTGCGCTGCCTGCGCCTGCTGCACTGTCTGCGCCTGCTGCGCCTGCCGCGCCTGCTGCACTGTCTGCGCTGCCTGCGCTATCTGCGCCTGCTGCGCCTGCTGCACCAGCCACTGCTCCGGGGATGGCTGGCCGGTCGGCATCTGCTGGCCGGTCGGCATCTGCGGCCACTGCCGCGGCGAGGGGGCGTGCTGCCCGAGCGGCGAGCCAGAGTAGGAGCTCTGCGCCTGCTGCATCGCCTGCAGGTGCGCCATCATCTGCAGCATCGCCACCGGCTGCGGTGGCTGGCTGGCGGCGGAGAGGGCGACGAGCTGCGCTTGCTGCAACGCCGAGAGCGGCACGGGCATCGACGGGACGCCGGGGAAGCCGCCCGGGCGGGAGCCGAGCGGCGAGTCCTGGCTGCCGACCAACATGCCCGAGTGCTGCCGCTCCAGCGCCAGGGCGACGGCACGCTCCCGTGCCTCGCGCTCTTCGCGGAGCGGAGGGCCGCGCTTCCGCCCGACGCGGGGGATGCACGGGATGTTGCGGGCGACGCAGTTGGAGCACCTGCCGCAGCGGAGCATCACGCAGCGGATGCGCTTCTGGCAGCAGGCGACGCACGCCGAAGCGCACCGCTTCCGCTCGCCTGAAGCGCACGGCGAGGGGTTGGGACGGGAGGCGTTGGCGGCGAGAGATGGCTGGGCAACACGAGTGCACCGCCGGATCCGTTTGGGTAGAAGGAACCCATCGGCTGCATGAGGTCTTCGAGCAATACACTAGACGACGCTCCCGCTTGCGCCCCCATCGACAGCTGGAGGGGCGCGCTCCCCGCGCCCGGTGAGACGATTGCGGGTCTGCCCGTTTCCATCTGTGTCGAAGCGTCCACACCCCTCTCGACGCTTCCGCACGCGCTCGAGCCCGGCTGAGCCGTGGGTGCCGGCCAGCCCGCGCCTACAGCGAAGAGCGGCCGCGGTCAACCACATATACACAGCCATGGTCAGAGGCGTCCACCGAGCGCCCACACCAACGCTGGTCGCCGGCATGGGAACAGCTGGCGCTGCGGGAAAGTGGGGAGGCTGCATCGCTGCGAGTGGGGGTGCTGCTCCCTCGGTGCTGGTCCCCACCCCGGCGATGGTCGCCGGGGGGGGGCCAGGTGCCTCTGACATGCCGAGGTGACTCGCTTCTGACTCGGACCGTGGCAAAATCAGCCTGTAAACATTCCCACGATCTCCGAAGCTGGACTTTCGCCGAAGCGCAGTGATGTGCATGCAGCATGGGACGCCCGTCGCCCACCTCGGGGGATTTTTTAATGGTATCCGTCCCCTACCTCTCAAAGCTAGCCACGCATGGCTTGTGCCGTGTTCATTGGGGGGGATCACAGGGTCATACACAACAAGCAAGGGAAACCGTCCGAGCGAGGCTCCGCCAAAGATGCCCAGTGTGGCGCATGTCGACTGTCCCCGCATGCCGGCCGAAGGCCAAGGCGGAAGGGCGAAGGCGCGCAAGGCATTGTCCTGCGCGCGGGCGGGGGCTCTGCATGGCGAGGCTGACGTCGGTCGGCTCGCGGTGCGACATCCCTGGTTTGTACGATTTTTTTCACGGTAACCGCGGCGAGATATGGCGAGATATGGCGGGATACCGCGGGATACCGGGAGGGAAACGAGATACACCTTTTCTTACGGGGGGCTCTCTGTGACTGTGTGTATAACGGTTACGGGTAGTCGGTAGATGTAAATAAATAAATAAAACGGACACCTCTACTAGGAGATGGGTAAAAAGGAACAGGTCCCCGCCCTGCGGTCTTTGTGCAGGGTTCTTTGTGGGTGTGGTCGGCGACTAGCCGGGGTCGTCCTCCCGATGGGGGACTAGCACTAGCCGTCTTCCACATGGTCCCTCGGGTCCCTGCTGCTCCTAATCTCGTCGTACATCCTCCTGCTGATCTCCGCAACATCCTGCTCCCTCCCTCGTCTCGCCCTGCGCGTCTGCTCCGCCTCACCGTCGTCTGCTCTGCGTCGTCTGGTGACGGGTCCTCCATAGTCGGTTGAGGTCGCCGCCCTCCTCGTGCCTCTTCCCAACGTTCCCTCGGCGGCCGATGCCGTCCGCTCCGGCTCCCCAGTCCCCGGGTCTGCCCTGCTCTCTTCTGCGCTAGCTTCTGTTTCGTCATCACTGATGTCCGTCCTCTTCCTTTCTCCTCTTGTTGTATGCTTTGTACATCGCGTCGATTCCTTTTCGCGTGAGCACCACCCTGAAGCCCGCCCAGCAGCTGAACCGCTCCCTAAGTCGAAGGAGCATCATCAGTCTCACCCACTTCGCTCGCTGCCCACTGTCTCCGCTCCCTCCCGCTTGGGCCGCCGTCGTGGCCCTCGTTCGTCCCACTGGCTGTTCGGTTTTCTTCGGTAGATGTGCATGTGGGCAGACGTACGGGCAAAATAATGCGGAGAGATACCAACAGAGGGAAAGAAGGGGAGATAGAGGTGGAGTCAGATACGGGGAGATAGCTAACTAAAAAACAAATCGTCCATTTTTTGCATTTGGGGCTAACTAAAAAAACTAGAGACATAAGCACATCGCAAGGGCGGGGGCCTGTTCCTTTTTACCCATCTCACAGTAGAGAGGTGTCCGTTTTTATTTATTTATTTATTTAACCCATCCCGCGCTGAGCAAGACGCTCTGAGCCGGCGCGGCATAGTATCACGAACCAGGGACGCTACGTTTTCAGGTGCGATGGATCGCGGGACCAGGGATCGAGCCCGAGTTAAGATCCGAGTAGGTTAACCGCTCTCCGCACCGGACCCTCCGCTCTCCATCTCGCTGCCAGCGACTCCGCGCTGCAGCCGCCAGGCCAGCCGCGCGCGAGCCTCGGCCGCGCGCCTCCTTCCGTCCCCCCTCTCACTGCGCCAGCCTCAGCCGGCGCATGCCCACCGCCGCGTTGAGCACCTGCCGCGGCGTGGGCGGTGCGTGAGCGGTGCAGGCTCCCCCACGCCTCGGGCCTGGGGCTTGCCGGCTCGCCTGCAGCGGGCCGAGGATTGCAAACGCGCCCATCGCCACGGAGAAGCGCGCCACCGCCAGCGGGAGCCGCCACCAGCTGCCTCTCGGCTTGCGGACGCAGAGCGGGTCTGCGGGCGGCAAGACGGCGCCGTCCTGCGGGCGGGTGCCATTAATTAAATACAGTGTCCCGCTGCCAAGGTATTTAATTAATGGTAAATTGTCCTGCGGGCGGGTGCCGCAGATGGCGAGCGCGTACTGCTTCGAGTTCCACGGGTTGGAGATGCGCAGCGTGCGCACGTCGCGCAGCCCCGCCTCCTCGAACCAGCCCACGTACTCCTCCTCGGTCGGGAACCGGTTGAAGGTGGTCGCGAGAAGCCGCAACAGCAGCGGCTTGGGCTGGAGAGATCCCATGGCGAGGACGACGCCGCCGCGGCGGACGACGCGCATCTGCTCGCGCAGCGCCAGCACCGGCTGCGGGAAGTAGTAGATCGCGCCCGATGACACCACGCGGTCAAACGACTCGGCGCCAAACGGCAGCGTGTGCGCGTCGGCGAGGACGGTCGTCGCGCCGGCGAGCTCCGGCTTGGCGCGCGCCTGGCTCAGCATGCCCTCGCTCTGGTCGATGAGCGTCAGTCGGTCGGGCGAGACTCCGCGGCCAACCACCTGCATCGAGAGCGTGCCGGTGCCGGCGCCGACGTCGAGCACGTCCATGCCTGCCGCGACGGCGGCGAGGTCGAGCCCGGCCTCGCGCATCTCGCTCGACGTGAAGTAGGGCTGCAGGCGCTCGTAGACCTTGGAGTAGAAGGCGTAGAACCAGCGCGCCTCCGTCTGCGAGCAGAGCCCTTCCATGGATCCAGCTTGGCGGCGGTCTGTTTCGTTCCGGGTGGTTTCTTTTTATGTTGCTCTCCTGTTGTTCGCTCGGGCGCTTTGGCGTCGGGGTGGCGAGCAGGGGACGCGGCTCTGAGCGCCCAGCGACGCGTGCCGGATGGAGTCCGGCCGCGGGTGACTAGGGAACTTCGCTCAGGATGTGTGGCAGTCAGTTTGGCTGAGTGTCCTGTCTTGTGGTTCTGTGTGTCGCTCCTGTGTGACCGTCATCGCCCGTCTAGCGTCCACCCATACCGCGTTGGTGTCCCAGTCGTTGGTCGGACTGTGTTTCGCCTTCCCATCAATCAATCAATCCTGTTGAGACTCTCAGGAGCTTCCTCTTGCGGTGCTTCCTCTTGCGGTGCCCAGGTCTCGGTGGTGTTGTGTACGAACTCTGTTCACTGTGACAGTTCTGTTCAAAGAAAGAAAGAAAGAAAAAACAAAAAAAAGAAAACAGAGAACCCAACTCGGGAAAATTTCTTTTTGCGCTGGTCTGTGCGAGCCCTGTTCACAGATAGGGTGATAAGAAAACAAGAACCTCGCATACGACGACAGTGAGGGTGTGAGAGACAGACCCAGGGAAGGTCTTTCACTACCTTACAGCCCCTGCCCGAGCTTCACACCGGCGCTTGTTCTCTGACGATGCCATCCTCCTCGTCGAGGCTGCGCGACCGGCTCAATGAGGCGCTCGGTCGCTCGTCTCAGCCACCGCCGGCTGAGTTCGGCGGCTCCGCGGCCACCGTGCTCGACCAGTTCCGGGTCACCGTCAACCAGGCGGTGGCTGCGCAGACGGGAGGCGGTTCGGTCAGGCCAGGCGCGAGCGCGGTCGCGGGCCGGCTCGGCGCGGCGGCGGGCGTCCCCGGCGCCGACTCGATGTGCCCGAGCCTCACCTTCAAGCAGCGGCTCTACGGCACGGTCGGCTGCTTCTGCGTGGGCTTTGTGTTTAGCCTGATGGGCACGCTCCTCTGGTGGACGGGACACGTGGCCGGCTTCGCGCTGCTGTACACTCTGGGCAACGTCGTCTCGATGGCCGGCACGGGCTTCCTGATCGGGCCCCGGCGGCAGCTGCGCAACATGTGCAAGTCGAGCCGCCAGTATGCAACAGCGCTCTACTTCACGATGATGCTGCTCACAATTTTTGCTGCAATCAGCGGGTGGAGCGCAATCTCGATCCTCGTGTTTTGCATACTGCAGTGGTGCGCCATGGTGTGGTACGTCGCCTCCTACATCCCGTACGGCCAGAGGATGCTCAAGAAGATCCTCGGGAATATGGTGGACTTTTGAGCAGCGGCAGCAGCAGCAGAGCAGCGGTAGCTCCCGAGGCTGAGTGGCCGGCGCGTCATGGGCAGGCCTACGAAGGTTCTGTGGACGCCGCGCGTGTGCCGTCCGGTCCCTTTGCGCGATACCATCTCTCTCTCATCTCGTCTCAAACGTGTTCCTAGTGAAGATCGCTCTTTTGTCAAATGTACGGCTTTCGTAATCTGTCGTCTGTGTACGCGCCCGTAATGTTCACCATATCTCTCTCTATGTTCTAGATGTAGAGGGTGTGCGTGTGGCGTGTGGAGGATGAGTTGAAATCGGAGGACGCGACCCGCTTCGGCACAGACGGTCCCGCGCCTGGTCGCCGCTAAGCGATAAGCGTAAGCCAAGACCCGCCCTGCCAGAGAGGCCCTATAGCACCCTAGCAGCTAGCTTTACACGACAGTCGACACCGCGCGCCTCGACCCTCGTGCCCACGTGTGCGTGTCTTTGTGTGTCTCTCTAGAGTGTAGTATACCGTAGTCGTCCGTATTTGAGTCTATAGGCTACACAAGCCGTCTCAGCGGAGAGAGTCAATCCGACCATCCGCTCATCCCTCGTCGGCGGCACGGCGGCGGCTTCCCCCGAGGGCCCGATGCGCCGCGCGCTCGGCGAACCTCGCCGTCTCTTCAACAGCGCCTTCGGTGACATGCGGCATGCATCTCTTTGCGCCTGAAGCCTGGAGAACAGCTCCTCTGCTGCTCACACGCTCTCTGCGCACAGATTGGCACAGCTTACTGTGTCTGTGATATGTGTGGCTGCCACAGCTGTGACAGCGGATGGGCTCGCCTTCACTTGGCCCTCATCACTCACTTGTGCTGCGGCTTGTGTGAGCGACATTGTTCGGCGACTGCCGGCACACTGTGAGACCATGGGTGTGAGGTAAACCCACACGCAGCTTGTGGCCCCATCGAGGCCGTCACCCTCCCCATGCCGTGAACAGGCGCCCTATCCATCCTATGTTCTTCTCTCGCTCCTCTGCCCGTGCCTTGGTCTTGTCGTTGTTTCGCACCCATGTCTGTATGGCGATCGAGGCTGCCTTCCCCACTACCTGTAGTTCACTCCTGAGGGAGGGTGTAGAGGATGTAGAGTGTAGAGCGCTGTCTGTAGAGCTGTAGAGATGTAGAGCGCTCTGGAGCGCTGTAGAGCTGTAGAGCTCTACATCCGCCGCGTGACGATGCGCCTCCGTTGTAGAGCGATGTAGAGGCGCTCTACAACGTGAAATCTCTACAACAAACGTTAGAGAGAGTTGTTTTGTCTAAACTCTACAACAAACTCTACATCAAAAGCGGCGAACGAGGCACGGTCGCTCTCCGACATGAGGCGCGTTGCACTTGCCAGTGCTGCCCTGGCCTTCTGTCTGCCCGCCCAATGGGTGGCAGGTGCCTCTGCTGCTGTGGCATGCCTCGCGGCTGCGACTGGCCGGCGCCTCGGCGCGTCAGCTCGGCTCGGCGTAGCGATCGTGGCCAGCGCAACTCGCTTGGACTCAACGCTCAGCCAGGAGCTCCCGCACGCGCTGGCGCGAGTCATGGCGCATGCAACGCGCAGCAATGCTCGCCTCGCCTCGCGCAAATGCGACCGTCCTCGCAGCCGACAGTCCACCGCCTGCTAAAGAAGCACAGCGACGAATGCGGCACCGGCGACGCATGGCAGGCTGGTGATGACGCAGTTATAGGGTGTTGTGTGCCATCAGAGTGACTCTCTGTGTGTCAGGGATAGTCAGGGCCGTCCATCAGAGCTCCAGTAAGCTCGGAGACACCCCATTAGTGCGACTCGACCTCTTTGAGTCACTGCCTTCCCGGCGGTTTGGCTGTAGAGCCTCTACAACAAACTCTACAACAAAATCGCGCTCTACATCGCTCTACAACGGAGGCAGTTCGTCACGCAGCCGATGTAGAGCTCTACAGCTCTACAGCGCTCCAGAGCGCTCTACATCTCTACAGCTCTACAGCGCTCTACACTCTACATCCTCTACACCCTCCCTCAGGTTCACTCGTCACCTCTCCTGCAAGCTCCCCTCTCTTTCTTTCGGTTATGGTGTCCGTGAGTGCGGGCAGCGTGCAGGCAATCACGGGCGCTATTTTGTCGTACTCCTCTTCGGCGAGCGCTCCAAATCTAGACCCCATTGCCTTTAAGGAGGCTGCCCTCGCGCGTCTCAGGAATGTGGCGGTGTCTTTTGAGTCCGGCGCCTCCCGTTCGACTCTTGCTGTCGCCCTCGCCGTGTGTTTGTCAAGCTTCCGCATGAAGTAACGCGCCTCTTCCTTATTTCCAGCGAAGCTGCCACTCAAAAATCTTGTGGACGTTTTTCAGAATTCTTGTTCGTAAAATTCTTTTTCGAGGCCAAGCGCCCGCAGGGCACCTTGAAGACTTCTCGCCCTCTACAAGAAGTCTCGCACAGCAGCGTGGGCGATGCGAATGTTGCTCAGAACAAGCAGCGCTCTCCTGCTGCTCGTGGTTCCCACGGCCGCCTTCTATCTCCCCGGTGTGGCGCCGATCGATTACCGCGACGGCGAGTCCATCGATCTGAAGGTCAACAAGCTGACGTCCACCAAGACGCACCTGCCCTACGAGTGGTACGACCTGCCATTCTGTCGGCCAGCCGAGGTTGTTTACAAGGGCGAAAACCTTGGCGAGGTGATGCGCGGAGACCGCATCCAGAACTCCCCGTACACGATCAAGATGAACGTGGAGGTCTCGTGCCAGCTGCTCTGCAAGCAGTCGTACGACGCGGAGCAGGCGGCGCTTTTCGCCACCAAGATTGGCGAGGACTACCGGGTCAACTGGATCGTCGACAACCTCCCCGCGGCGACCCGAGTCGTCGAGCCCGCCCTCGGCAGCAGCCCGTCCCGCATCATCACCATCTACGAGCGCGGCTTCCCTCTGGGCTTCAGGGGCGCCGAGTCGATCCCGGGGACAAGCGCGGGGGTGAACTACGTGTACAACCACCACCGGATCGTCCTCAAGTACCACACCGAGCCGGACGCCTTCGAGGGCGCCCGCATCGTCGGCTTTGAGGTCGAGCCGTTCTCGGTGCAGCATGAGCCCGCCGGCGCGGGAGGAGGGCTATCCACTTGCTCCGGCGCGAGGCCGGTGACGCACTCGGCGCCGCCGCAGCCGGTCTCCGGGCCGCAGACCGTCTACTGGACGTACGACGTCCGGTGGGAGTACTCCGAGGCCCCTCCCCTCCCGAGGGAGGCGGAGAGGCGCTGCTCTCTTCACGGCGACGGCGGTGTGAACAGGTCAAGTGGGCCTCGCGGTGGGACGTGTACCTCTACGCGACAGACGAGCAGATCCACTGGCGCCCCCCCCCCCCTACCTCTTATATAAACACAATCCTCTTTAGCACCTCATAAACTACATCATATCCTCCAT